AGCAGCAACAACAACAACAAATAAGCAACAGCCATACCGCAAAAAAAAAATTAAAGTTCTCTGGCAATGGGAATGGGTTGGTGAAAAGAACGAAATGTTATGCGAATATATTATACAATATATGTATGTTCACAACACCAGTCGAAAGAGAACAAAAAGCGGACAGCGCGCTTTATGGCATTTCGACCCATTGACGTAGGAACACCGAAAACTTAATCACATCATTCGAAAATAGCCGATGAAACAGAACAGACAGAACCCCCAGCCTTTGGGGGTTGGGTTTCTACTCCATCAGGCGAAGAGGTCAAAGTCGTGGCTCGGCGGCAATGATATACTTGGGAATCCATTAGCCACTCCACTGAGTCATGAATGAAAGTGGAGTCATAAGCAAACGGTGGCCACCAATTCATAAAGCATTCCAAGGGTTTGTCTTGTATCTACTACTCGTACCCGTACAAATGGTTGTGAGAACTCAGATTTAGCACAGTTTTTCCACATCTTCATCTCCATCTGAATCTCAGTTCAACATTCAATATTTACCTCATCCATTGTAGTGAAGATTATTGATGGGTTCCATCTAGATTCTAGAAACTAGAACAAAGATTTTGCAATATCTCATACCCGTAGATTTCCAAGACCCGACCAAAGTGTCAAGAGATGGGGCTAGATGTGGGCGTGTCTAGATTGGCTTATGGAATATTCTGTGCCATAAATCTAGACTTTGGCAAGAGCACAAAACAGAACACAGACAGCAAATAAAAACCAGTTGTGTTTTTTTTTTTGGAAATTTCGCTCTGGCCAAAACGGATCTTCGATGGCCGATTGCTTTGGAGACAGCCAGCCAAGTGCGTGACATTTATCAGTTTTTATGGCCATTCTGTCCGTTAATTAAAGAACCAACGCCAACGCAGGGCAAATAGAAAGCCAAAGCCAAAGCCAAAAGCCAAGAAGGGGTCGGCGGCTTCAATGGATTCGGATTGAAATTGGAATTGGGATCACAAAGCGACGATTCCGAATGCTAGACGGGAAAAGGGGAAAATCGTTAAACCAAAGCCTGCAGTTCTGGGTAATTGAGAAAACATTTAAATTGGGCCACGACCAGCTCTGGTGCTGGATCTGCATTAGAAAATGCAATGCGTGTCGTGCCCTTAATTTGTGCACGCTCAGAAATGTCACATCTAAGATGCGGAATGGGAATGGGAAGTCGTGTGGAGTTTTAGGGGGGGTGGATGGGTGGTGGGGGTGGCTTCATCGATACAGTTTAATGGGCAACGGAATCTGTTCCAGGCCAAGACTCACTTTCATTGCCAGTCGATGTGTGTGACACACATTTATTGGTAAATCGCATGAAGCAACAATTAATGCCAATCACGTGTCTGACCGCCACTACACCTGACCGGCAGAGCACTACTGGATTTTGTCACAAAACGTTGGCAATGGTGCGACGCATAAACAAATCAGTTTGACTTTGAAGAAAACCCCAAATGGCCAATTGAAATGCCATGCAAGTGGCACTCACTCGCTCCGTCTCTGTCTCTGGATCTGACAAGCAAACGAAAAAGCAGAAAATGCAAAACTAAGTGTCCAACAATGTGTTTAACAACAATCAAGGCATTGTCAAGGCATTGGCATCGGCGTTGGGATCGGGATCGGGTTCGGGTTCGGGGCAGCTCAATTAGAGGCGGTGACATTGGTGATTCGATCAATCAGAGTCGAAGCAGAGTCAGGCCAAAGGAGTGCCCGGAGATTGTTCCATTCCGGTCCGTTTTGTAGAGTTCATTGGCTCACAGATTGATTGGACTGATTGCTTAATAATCTGCGGAGTGCGTGTCCCCATCGCTGGGGGTAATCATTTCGCACCAGAACCTCCGCCAGAGCCCACAACTTAATTGTCCATAACTAGAAGCGTCGCTCGTAATTATTTATAATAATTTTATTTGGAAAATTTTCTCTTCCAGACAGAGGAAACGCCATCAGCAGCAGCAGCACCAACAACAGCACACACAAAAATGATTTCACGCCGCAAGATTATATCGCGTTCCCTGGACAATTTGGATGCCATCGGGCAAGATGAGCAGGAGGAAGACGTCTGGCATGATCGCGAGAAACTGTTCAGGGTGAGTTGTAGCTGAAATTTGTCTTGCAACTGGTGCTAATTCTTGGGCCATAACCCTGGCAGGATCACATCAATGAGGTTCTGGCCAAGTGGGAGCAGATCGACGATGAGATCTGGGCCAAGATAATCGTCTTCGAGAAGAACCGACGCGTGGCCAAGGCCTATGCCCGCTCCTCTGTGATAACCATAAACGGCTCCAAGAACGGCTTCGATGGAGTGCGGTGAGTAAACCGGACCGGACCCCTGACCATCCCATGAATGTTCCCACTAAACTGATGTCTCCTCTGAACAGTATTGGTCTGAATGGCTTCGAGAATCCCATGCGCGACTCCGAGACGAAGGTTATCAAGAAGTCCATTGGCGATGGCTTCAAGGTCAAAATGGATGAAATAGGCAACATATTCATCAAGCGGTATGGCAAGAGCAACATCTTCGTGAACAACACCTCGCCGGGCAACGAGGAGACGGTCATCGGCGGCGACATTATGCAAATGCCGCAGATGTCCCTCAGCGGCGGCACCTCGGCCAAGCTCTTCGACATGAAGAAGTTCCAGACGAACATCAATCGCGAGTTTGCTCGCACCTATCCGGAGCGGGGCCGCCTGGAGCGCCAGTGCCTGTCGGCCGTGTCGCTGGTCAAGTCAAACAACAATCTAATCAACACTCCAGTCTGGATACTCGTGGTCAACGTGGTGGCCATGGACATGCTGAGGAGTCGCCTTCAGACGATGCCCAAGTCGCTGGACGCGCTCGGCATGCGGGTGCCGCTCACGCAGAGCAGCGAGGATCCCTACTCTACGATCGAGAGCCAGGTGGGCCTCATTTATCCAACGCCCGCCGCATCCGATGACTCGCAGAACTCCCAGCACTCAAGCCACTCCAGCAAGGGGCGACGCAGCGTGTTCAGTGCCGCCTTCCTCAACGAGGGTCCCTACGTGCCCAAGGTAAGTTGCAGTTGCTCCGGATTGGCTTACCTACTTCCACTTCCTACTCACGTGTGCCCTCTGTTCTTTCATTTAGCCGGACTATGAGGCTGGCGGATCGCTGACACCCATCTATGCGGACAAGAAGCGTCAGAAGAGCAGCGCGCATCAGCGCAAGAAGCAGGACGATCCCTACTACTGTGGCCTTCTGGCACGCATTCCCAACTTCATCAAGTCCTCGAAGCAGCCGTGCACCGGGGCCAGCAAGCCCAAGAAGGAGCCGAAGATCTCACGCAAGATTTCGGCCCAGCACCTGCAGCAGCAGCAGCAGTTCCTGCAGCCGCCACAGCCCATTCCCATAGCCACCTTCCACCACTCGTATTTCCCCTACAAGCTCTATCCGCCACAGCATCGTCTCTCGCAGTCGCAGATGTCGCTCTGGGATGCCCGCAGTCTGATCAGCGCACATGGTGAGTTGTCTGCTTATATTTGTGCGGCAATTTCTTTTCTAACTCTGTTTTCTCTACCCCACAGAATGACCAGCATGGATGGCCCTAATTTATTCAACGTTTAGCATTAGTTTTACAAATATTTAGTCAAAGATATAATTTTGGTCAGTTGATCAGAGGATCAGTGAATCGGGGGGGATCAACGAATGGAGTGGAGTGCATTTCGCTCAGTTTTGTGATAAATGATGCGAAGTGCAGCCATTTAGTACAGATTTAACAGCAGATTACTTTTAGGGAACCAGAGAGATTTAATGATTATGCAATTTGTAATAACTAATTAAAATTTTGCCATAGTTTTTTAAATCGTTTAAGACTGAGAGAATGTCCTAGAGCCCAATTAAGCGCGAGAGAAGGAATTGCAAGATGGGGGAATGAGAATGTCATAAGCAAGTATATTTGCTACTTTAGGCAAGTCCAATTTATTGTTTCTTTTTTATTATTTTGCTGTATATACATTTCATATGTAAATAAGTTCGAATAAAATATATATGTAAAAGTATGAATGCATTTTAAATTTGAATTTGTCAGAGAAGAGCGGTCTGAAACGATTACAGCTTAATCGGTTGTAAGTTTTTTGTACCTATGCCAGATGGCGCCAGTTGGAAGGTATAATTGTTCTATACAAAAAATACCGAGTATTTTTCGGTATTTTTGAGTGCGTATTTCCGTACATCGACTGAGAAATTTTAGCCCATTGTGTTACAAAAAATTACGCATTTCAGGTGAAAGATATCGTGGTCATAAATGGATAATACAAACAGTATTATTTTCCGCGGTGTAACTCAAGATTTTCAACTGGTTAAATGGAGGGGGCTAAGTGGCTTAAGTTCGTCTTTCCGCGGTCACACTGACACTGACTAATCTAGGTCAAAAATATGTCACTACGCGTAAATGATACTTAGGATTGAATAACCCAGCCAACCCAAGAAATGGGAATCATTGACAAAAGCCAAATTGTAGAAAATTAATTAATCTATCTGATGAAATGATATTTTCAGTTGTTAAAGTCTTAACTAGCTAGTAATATGAAATCGAATATTAAAAGTGATGAATATGATTTTCCTCGGTATATTTACGGTATATTTTGAAAATGAGAAGGTATATTTCGGTGTATTGCTGAGGGTCTGAGGGTATACTTAGCACATAGCTTCATTATGGCGTCACTTGTAGTTGGCCATCGTAGTTTTTGGAAACAATCGTACTATCGTTGGGCTCAAATAATATAAAAAACCATTGAAACCTTAGGACGCCATTGTAAATTAGGCCCCTGCGTGAGGTCCGAAAGCAGCCAATCCAAACATATCAAAAGCGCAACGACTGTAGCTCGATACTATCATGATAGTCGCAAAACCGTCGATAGTAGAGGCTAGCAGTAAAATATCGATCCTATCGATAGTGCCCTCGATGGTTTGGCACCTCTACTTCATTATATTTTTGGCGCGACTTTTCTAAACAATTTGTGCAATAACAGCGCGTGTGGAAACCCCTGCAGGCCATGGATAAGTTCGTGCAACGCAAGCCCTCATGGAAAACGATGACTTACGAGGCGACCGTGGCCAACGCGGAACAGAAAAAGCTGAAAATGCAGCACGCTGCGCCACCACAGCGTCGCCCATTGCAAGAGCAGCCTGATTCGAATCTCACCCCCAAGCGTCTCAATCAGCCTCACTATGCAGCAGGTTGGCTTTGTGTTATTGTTGTTTTTGTTTTTGTGTATTATTAAGTAAATATTTTGGATACGAAGCTATCAAAATTAGTAGTAACTGAAACAGAAACAATGTGGCAAATTGATCCAGAAATCGCTAACCAGATTTGTTCTTCTTGGATAGACACGTTGCGTGCCGCTGAGAAGATGCCTGAAGTACATACTAGTCCAGCGAAAACGTCTCAACCTTGTCCCGTGCCCCGGGCCGTTCCACAACCGACGACGCGTGGTTCTGTCAGCAAAGGACCTTCTGTAATGCCATCGAATGGTGTGACAACGCCCACGTCCAAGCAGGGCGGGCACTGGGCGCGTCTCCAGAATGATCTCAACAGCCCCAGCGCTACACTTCGAATGCGTGCCATACGCGCTCTAAAGTAAGTTAAGCCTTTATCCACGTGCGAGAGAAACTAATGTCCTTTGTCGTGCAGAAGTCCCACCAAAACCGCATACAATGTGTTTGATGTGTCGCATACCGAACAGAATATCATCTCTGCCGACGAGCGTAATCCCAAGCCACCGCCTTCCCTCCCGGAGATCCTGAGCCCGGTTGTGGTCTATGTGGAGGTGCGTAGCGGCAACGACAATCGTTCCGATGGTGTCAAGACAATCATTGCCAAAATGGGGGCCCAGGTCAACGATCGTCTGCTGCGGTGAGTACAGATATTTCGCCTCGATACCAGTTGAATCTCGTGCTGAAAGCAAGTTCTCGCTCTTTTTGCGCCCAGCAACACCACGCATGTGGTCTTTAAGGATGGTCTACTCTCGACCTACAAAAAGGCCATGGAGTGGAAAATACCAGTTGTCTCCATATTGTGGATTGAGGCCTGCAAGGTGCAACGAAGGATTTGCGAACCCGAAAAGTTTCCCATCAGCAACTTGCACAAGTATGAGTATCCCGAGCTGTACGGCAAGATAACGGTGAGTGGAGATTAATTTTTTGTCTGTGATGGGCTGGGCTGGGGGAATACATACATATGTACATAGATAAGAAGCTTTTGGTTGGTTCCCTTCATTTGATATCTAATGTTCCCAACTTTATCAATCATAATTGTCAGCCAAAGTTCGACGCGCTATTATCACGATATGTATGTGTGAATTAGGGGGAAAATAGAAGCAGCTAAACATAGAGGCAATCAATAATGATGAAGTACCAGTTTATGGCCGTGTTCGAACAGAAGCATTGGCTCCACTTAATTGGTCATTCGGGGCTTAAATAGTTTCCTTTATTGTAGAAATAAACCCATTAAAAGTGTACGAGGAAATGGTTCAACAGATAGCCGCCCCGAGTCTTATCAGCCACTTGTGTTGACGACCCAGATTGGGCCTTTAGCCAGCCAAAGGCGACTGTGACTGTGGCTTCGCGACACTTGTGGATGTGAAAATGATTATTTAATCCGGAATAAATACCGAATCAACGCAGGGCCATGGGCCGTCTGAAATTGCACGTACCCCAAACACAGGGCGCCGCGTATTGGGAACTCTTTCGTGTCTGACGGATTGTTATCAGTGACAACCATTGTCAAGCACTTTGTTGGTGCCGGGCGTCGTGTTATCTAATTTAATTTGCGCGAGGCCCGGGGCGCAGCTTATCAGGGTATCGTTGGGCCACGGCCAGAACTTGTTGGACGGGCCAAGGAAGCCTGTCCAGGATTGGACAGATTGGAGATGAGATGCACTGATCGTTTTGCATACATTACGTTTTATTGCTTACATATTAGACAGTTTAAAAACATACAAGCCACACTGGTCGCTGCTGACAACTTAAAACCTAATTCAGATGCACGTCTGTTTGTATTCTTTCCGAGAATACAACAGATCTTCGCCTCATTTACATATTTTGCTGGAATGCACTCGTAGATGCAGATACAGTGCTGTGCAGGCCCAGTCGTCTGGCATATTTATGGAACATTTAACTCTAAGTTAGATTATTAGATTCACGTTTACGGGGAACTGCTTGCTGCTGGGCACGGGTCCACGTGGCGCTGCCGGGGCCCACGTATTTCTGAGATTTGTACAATGCTGCATGCACACACATGCGCGAGTCGGTTTCTATTTACATAAAAGGAATAAGCGTTAAGTACAATGGAATCCTTGCATTACACTATGTTGCGAGTCCTGCGCCGGCGGAGCGAGGCAGGCATTTTCTAGTTTTGGTATCGGAAGCCCCCCCTCTCATGAGAGCGCCACCTCAAGGCACATCATTATCAGAAATCCGGATACAGTGCCCCACGTGGCAATCGTTCCATTGCCGCTGGCATGCGCCTCAGGCAGGATGTCGTCCGACACAATGTAGATCATGGCTCCGGCCGCAAACGACAGCGCATAGGGCAGTATGAGGTTGGCAAACGTCACAGCCACGGCGCCCAGCACACCAAAGATGGGTTCCACCATTCCGGACAACTGTCCGTACCACAGAGCTCGTCCCACACTGAAGCCGGCGGCATGCAGGGGCAGACTGACGGCCAAACCCTCTGGAAAGTTTTGAATGCCAATGCCAATGGCCAGGTTGCGGGCGCTCTCGAACGTGGATGAGTTGGAGGTGCCGATGGCTCCGAAGCTCACGCCCACCGCCAATCCCTCGGGAATGTTGTGCACGGTGATGGCCACCACCAGCAGCATGATGCGCTTCCATTGCGAGAGCGCCTCCTCGGCGCGCTTCTCCTCCTCGGTGGTGGTGTAGGTGCACTGCTCCATCTCGTTGATGCTGCCCTTCTTGCGGCGACGCGACTCGCCGCTGTGCTGCACGCTCAAGCAGTCGGAGAAGCTTTCCAAACTCTTGGAGGCGAGGCGTTCGCCGGCGCCATTCCGCTTCAGGTCCTCGATGGCAATGTCCGCCTTGTCCTTGCTCGACTGCGTCATCTGAATCATCATTTTGGTGCTGTTCAGGCCCAGATAGGACATCAGCTTGTCGCAGCCGTAGACGAAAAAGGATCCAAGCAGAAAGCCACCGGACACGGGCAAAAACGAGTACACTCCGTACAGGTGAGAGCTCTCGGCCATTTCAATGGCCGGCTTGAGCAGAGACCAGAACGAGGCGGCAATCATGACGCCAGCCGCAAAGCCAAGGGCCGCGTCCAGCGACCTTCTCTGCGTACCGCGCACAAATATCACCAGGGCGGCACCGGCGGCCGTCAGTCCCCAGGTGAGCAGGGTGCCCAGCAGGGCCTGAGTTACGGGTCCGTAGCCGGCAATCATTATGTCTTCTGTGCTAGCCGCTGCCTGGTATTGTTATTGGGTATAGTCTCTACTATAAATTAGGTATGTACGTGTTGCGGCTGAGACACTTATCGGAGTTCTGGCTAGCAGTTGGGGAAAACAAGTTTCTTAATTGCTTCCCTAGCTGTCGCTCGCTCCACTGCCAGAATCTTCTTCTCTGTTAATTGTTTACTTGCTCTTACAGCAGAGATGCACACACCCTCGAAACAAAGTGCCACGTTCCGTACCGTGCACTGATTCGTGTCTAGTATTTCAGCAGAATAAACAAAAGGCTTGCGCAGCAGCTGGAGAACCGAACAATAATAGTATAGTTTTGTTTTCTAAAGTTTCTCCTTCTTTGGCGTATTGAATGGGTCGGTGAACACTTGTTGCTTATCGCTCACTCGAGGAAGCCTCTCGGAACAGATGTGTGTGTGTGGGTTGACAAAAATTTAAATGGAAATGCGTAATACTGTTGGTGTTTACTAAGTTTAAGAACTAATTGAGCGCGCAGAGGAGTGGGAAATGACTGAGCTGACAGCCCTGCCAAAAGCAATTTTTATAGGGCGCAGCGGCGCTGGAGTCTAGCAGCAGCAGCTGTTGAACTATCGGTAGTATCGCAGCAGTATATCGTCTCTAGTGTCCGATAATTGGTGATGGAAGCGACTCAAACGATGATTTCTTTGGCATGCGTTTGAACTTGCCACAACTAATATTTATTGTACAGACATCTGTTTTGGTTAATTAGTAGATAAAATGTTTTTTGTAAACAATTTTATTGAAAAAACATATAAACTATCGATGACCCGAGAGTATCTTCCCTTCTTGACAGCCAGTGAGCGGTAAGGAGATAAGCGCTAGAGAGATTAAACAAAAGCCAGTAACGGCACTGGTATCACGTAGTTATAAACAAATAAAACAGTGTTTTTAGCCAACGTGACTGACAGAGTCGGAGTCAGTTGCCGCAGCAGAAACAATAACAAGAAGGGCGTGAGCTCCATCGTAATTAAGCTCACCGGCCGCACTCAGTTATTAATCAACTGCCACATCCTTTGCAGCGTGTTCGGTGCATGCAACCGGGTTCGGAACTTCTTATCAAACGTCCGGCCAAACGCCCAGTCACCCCCACATCATCGAGCGACAATGGCCCAGGATCGGGCAGCAAGCGAACCGCTTTGGGAACGCCAACCACAGCGGCCAAGGTACGATCTTAAAGAGTAAGCTACAGTAATCCTGTTTAATCTTGTTTGATCTTGTTCCTTCACAGAATGACATCAGCCGTTTCTTTAAGGCTCTCAACCACAACAAGCAACTGGCCGGAGAAGAGGCGGCAGAGTCGCCAGCCACTAAACTGCTCAACAGGTTAGTCCTTGTCATCTACTGAGAGTGTCGTCCCATAACCGATTCGTTTCTCACAGGATATCCAATGGCAGTTATACGCCATTGCCTCTGGGCACACCTACCTTGCAAGAGAAACCTCTGGAAATTGGAGTTGCCTCCAACCAAAGACCGCAGGCCCAGAAGAGTTTGAACTTTAATGAGAAAGCAGGCAACGATGAGCTGCCGCAGACTGCCAAACCACGGCCCCGCCGTAGCACAACAGAGCCCACTCCTGTGACTACGCCGGTACGCACCAGTGGCCGACGCAGCTCGGCGCACATTCCCATGACTAGCAATGCGGACACTTCTCAGCCTGCAGAGCCAGAGCCACGGATGACACGCCGCCGCAGTTCGGCGCATATTATGCTGGCAAGCAATGAGGAGGCTTCTCCGCCTCGAAAGCCACGCACGCTGCGTCGCTGCAGCTCAGCTCACATTCCCATAGCGAGCAATGCGAATGCTGCAGCAGAGCCAGAGCCACGAGTGACGCGCCGCCGCAGCTCGGTCCATATTCCCATGACTATTACTGCGGGAGCTCCTCCACCTGCAGAGGCAGAGCCAGAGCCACGCCAGAATCGTCGCCGCAGCTCAGCGCACATTGTCATGGCCGTCAATACTGATGCTGCGCCGCCTCAACAGCCAGAGTCACGAATGACACGTCGTCGCAGCTCATTGCTACAGGCTGCCAAGGAAACTGTGGAATTGGCACCGAAAGATCCATTTGCATCAATTGCCGAGGAGCTGGCTCCCATAGATGAGGACAAGAATCCGATAGCCGAAGAACCTGCTGGGGATGCTACCGAGTCGAATTGTAAGACATCATTGATAACCAACTTGGACGAGTCCATGGCAGCTGCAAAAGAACTTAACAAGACCGATTTCGTTCAACATTCGCTGGAAATAAGCGTCGAAATGCCATCGAAAGTTCTTCATCGGGCGGACAAGCGTGGCACCCTGTACACCTCAGAGCTTATGGAGATCAGCAAAGAATACCAAAACGAGAACGTGCCGCTGAATGTGACGGCCAGAAAATCGCTGTCCAATGTGACTATGCAAACGTCCGCACTTCTAGATGAGCACTCGACACCGCCGCTGTTTAGCTCGACTCGCCTGCCCAGCAGCAGGTCCAGCACCACCTTAAATCGAAGGCGCACCATCTTCAACATGGACATGGAGGTGATCAACGAGGGAATTGACAGACTGAACTCATCTCATCGTCGGTCCCTGGTGCTGGCCAATCAGGCGGAGTTGGGAGAGTGCGACAAATTAGTCGTGACGACGGACAAACCTCTGGCGGTGGAGGATCCCCCGAGTGAACCAAAGAGGCGGCGTCTATTCACCCCGAACGAAGTGGTAAAGATCTCACCCCCAAAGTCAAACTACAAGCAGCGTTTAAGTCTTAGTGGAAAAAATGCACCCAACGGATCAGCAAAAAAGCGTCGTCGTTCATTGGCAGTTCCCGTACCCGCCTGCTCTTCCTCCGATTTAAGCTGTCCTGCTGCTCATGTTGAACGTGAAAGCACTGATAAATTTCTCACACCCGAAGGCTCCGTGGATGGCTTCAAAGACGTGGATACATCCTCCAGAATTGAAGTAGCTGCAGTAGCGGAGAAAACGCCGAGCAGCAATCGCCGTTCAACTGTGATCCGTACTCTGGTGCACACGAACATGCATCATGGGCAGGTCCAGGTGATTCAAAAGGTTGGTAAGACTGTGGAGACACCAACTGAGCCCCAACCTTGGTAGCCTAGCCTCTGTAGTAAGAGTTGGGTCGGTAGACTCGACTATAAATCTTAGCGTAGCTTAGTTTTGTTTGTAAATTCTCGTAAATATGCATATTCATTAATCGTTAATTGCCCATAATAATTATTTATGAAACATAAACAACACGCAGTTAGTTTGTAGCAACCCTTCATTTGTAACGCCATCCCATACTCAAATAAACCGTATCAGTGCGTGATGCACCGGGGCCCTCCTTAATCCTACCACAACTCAACTCAATTCGTTGCCTTTAACCTCAGGCCATACGGAGGTTGCGTGGAATGCGGCTGGATCCCACTGTGACCAACCGAACCACCCACTTGGTTAGCCTGGAGCCGCGCCGCACGCTGAATCTCCTTCGCGGACTCATGCGTGGCGTCTGGATTGTCGACTATGACTGGATCCTGGAATCGCTGCGTGTCGGCAAATGGGTAAACGAAGAAAAATATGAATTGAAAAAATTCTCCCGTGCCGTTGAGGTGAGTCGCCAGACTAGTCCATGACGAGCTAGTAAACATCACCATCTACCCAAATCAGATTTGCCGCACTGAGCGACAGGCCTTTGGCATCCACTACCACTGCGAGCTCTTCCGCTACATGGAAACCTTCTATGTGTCTCCCCTTTGCCGGCCCATCGAGTTCAACAACATGAAGGAGCTGCTGTTGCTGGGCGGCGCCAGACTGACGGAGAATCGCTTCAAGGCAAAATACATTATTGGCGACAAACGACGAGTAGTGGACGAGCGCCTTTATCTGACGCCCTACTGGGTGCTGGATAGTATCACATCCATGCAAATCCAAAAGTTCGGCAAATACCTAATGAAGAGTGCCATTGTAACGCCCAGCGGCATCAGGTACGAAGATCCAAGGGCGACCCGTCTTACTGCCCTAAAAGCCAATTATAATGATCCACCACTGGTGATGGACAAATAGGTGTCAACCTCTGTTCTGTTTTATCATTGTTCTTCAGACAAAATTCTGTAAACCGAATTTCCCAATGAGTTGAAATTTGATAATATATTTAGTCCACATTTAAGTTTAAATAGACCACAATATTGTTAAGTAATTTGTTCTTGATAATTGACAAACAAATGTAGTCGAAAAAAAAAAAAAAATTTATTCGTACGATTTCTGTGTACTTTTATAAGAATGTGGGCGGGATGGAAATCAAACAACTTAGTTTTTAGTCTCTTTAATGGCAAATGTTCACTTTATTGGAGCGATTGAGGTATATTGTGTTGTCAGTTTTATTTCATTGATATCTTGTACTTTTCAATTAGATTCAGATTCACTTTGTACTTTGTGGCATCGACGACAGTGTGGGCGGTGCGTGGCGGCGGTGTGTGTGGAAGAAAAATAAAGCGCTGACTGAAAATCAACAAACCAAAAAGATGGTTAAAAAAGAATAAATACAAAAATAGGGTTTTTATTTTTTGTAAATAAAGTTATCGCTTCTATTCTGGTTCTTTTTTTTCATGTATACAAAGTAGTTGTGTGTGTGTGCAAAAGGAGGGTAAGATAAATGATACAAATCAAAGTATAAAGGTTAATTTTAATCGATATAAATGGATGTATGGAGGAGGAGTGGTCTTGTTTCTTCGTGTGTGTTCCCGCCAATCAATCATCCAGCATCCAATTTAGGCGGCTTCGACAGCGTTTGTTGACATTCGTATCCTACGAAACTCTTTTCGATGGAAAAAATTAAACTTTAGCTTTCTGTGGAACTTCATCTTATCGTTCATTTTGCTCAGGACAGGGACAGGTGTTCTTGCTATACTACTGTTGTTGTGCTGGTTGCTGGTGTTGTTGAGTGTTGGTTGTGTCTGCATTAGGTTGTTGGTTATATGCTTGCTGCTTCTGCTTGCGCTTCCGCTTGTTGCTGCTGCTACTATTGTTGAGTGAGAGCAAACCAGCTACTTCTTGACCTTGGTGGCCTTCTCGGCGGCCTTGGTGACCTTGCCACCGGAGGCATCCTTGAAGTTGACAGACTTGATGACACCGACAGCAACGGTCTGCCTCATGTCACGGACAGCGAAGCGACCCAGAGGAGGGAACTCCTGGAAGGACTCCACGCACAGAGGCTTGGAGGGCACCAAGTTAACGATGGCAGCATCACCAGACTTGATGAACTTGGGGTTCTCCTCGGTGGTCTTGCCGGAACGACGGTCAACCTTCTCCTTGATCTCAGCGAACTTGCAAGCAATGTGAGCGGTGTGGCAATCCAGCACTGGAGTGTAGCCGTTGGCGATCTGGCCAGGGTGGTTCAGCACGATGACCTGAGCGGTGAAGTCGGCAGCGCCCTTGGGGGGGTTGGACTTGGAGTCGCCAGCAACGTAGCCACGACGCAGCTCCTTGACGGAGACGTTCTTAACGTTGAAGCCAACGTTGTCACCGGGAACGGCCTCGACGAGGGCTTCGTGGTGCATCTCAACAGACTTAACCTCAGTGGTGATGTTGGCCGGAGCGAACACAACAAGGGTGCCTGGCTTCAGGACACCGGTCTCCACACGACCGACGGGTACTGTTCCAATACCGCCAATTTTGTAGACATCCTGCAGGGGCAGACGCAGGGCCTTGTCGGTTGGGCGAGCTGGGGGCAGGATAGCGTCCAAAGCTTCGATGAGGGTCTTGCCGTCAGCGTTGCCATCCTTGCGCTCCACCTTCCATCCCTTGAACCATCCCATGTTGGTAGAGGGTTCCAACATGTTGTCGCCGTGCCATCCAGAGATGGGCACGAAGGCGACGGCGGCTGGGTTGTAGCCGATCTTCTTGATGTACGAAGAGACTTCCTTCTTGATTTCCTCATAACGCGACTCGCTGTATGGTGGCTCGGACGAATCCATCTTGTTAACACCAACGATCAGCTGCTTCACACCCAGGGTGAAGGCAAGCAGGGCGTGCTCGCGGGTCTGGCCGTTCTTGGAGATACCAGCCTCGAACTCACCAGTACCGGCAGCCACAATCAAGACAGCGCAATCAGCCTGGGAGGTACCAGTGATCATGTTCTTGATGAAATCTCTGTGGCCGGGAGCGTCGATGATGGTGACGTAGTACTTGGCAGTCTCGAACTTCCACAGGGCGATATCGATGGTGATACCACGCTCACGCTCGGCCTTCAATTTATCCAAAACCCATGCGTACTTGAAGGAGCCCTTGCCCATCTCCTGAGCCTCCTTCTCGAACTTCTCGATGGTACGCTTGTCGATACCACCGCACTTGTAGATCAAGTGACCGGTGGTCGTGGACTTGCCAGAATCGACGTGTCCAATGACGACAATGTTGATGTGAATCTTTTCCTTGCCCATGTTGGATTATAGGAGAGCTGCACGTTCGTTTGTTTGTAGTTGTGTGTGCGTGTGTGTGGGTTGTTTACGGGTGGTGTGTGTTGGACAGCGTGCAGCAGGTAGAATTTGGAAATCAGGTTTAACAGGCGCGGTAACGAGGGGAAGAAACAAATGGGTAAACAATTTCGTTAGCAATTGGATAGGAATTGTATTATTAATTAATTTCATAGTTAGTGGTACAAATAAATTTCGTTGTCTACAAATAAATCTAATCGGCTCTCGTACTTTCGACTTTTTCCTTGCGTGCCAGCGCAGCCATAAAACCTAACCTCACAACCGCCGCACAGACAAAACGTGTTTTTTTTCGCTCATCGCTCGCAAGCAGTTTGAGGTTAGGTTAGGTGCAGCGCAGCCGCCGCATGTGGTTTTGGTGGAAAAAAAAAACAGCCAGAGGGGGAGGAAACAGAACAGACAACTAATTGTTGAACAATGAAAGTACGCATACCGCATACACATTAATGTACATGCAAATTTACAACAAAAAAGAACAACCTATTTATTTGAACCATTATAAAAGCAAACTCGATTTTTTCAGTGTTTTGGTATTTATGCTATCGTCAAAGTTCTTCAGTAGCAGAACTGAAAATAATCATCATGGTAAATCGAGTTGCTAAATTTAATACATATGCACAAAGAAATTTCCAGCAAATTTAATCTCATTTTTATTCGCATGCATACATGTGCTCCATGCATGTGTGTGTGTGTGTGTGTCTGTGACGCCAGTTGCCGGCCGGAGAGCGAGGGAGAAAGCAAAGAAAATGGCGACGACCCATAGCAATGTGAATGTGACTTGTGCAAAGGCAAACGATCGCCGCGGTGGCACGAAAGAGAAAGAAAATTTTCAAGAACCGAATGCATACAGAGCCGTTTTAGAGAAGGCCCACGCAAGAGGTCAAGTAAATGCTTCGAAAATGCGGGTCCACCTTATTTCACAACAGCTGGCAATTGGCAGCGTGCTGAATAAGTAGATTTGCGAGATTTTCGCGTGTTGCTAGGAAAGATATCCGGCCACTTGAGTCACACCATGGGTCGCCATTTTGAAATTATTTTCCATGTAGAGAAAGCTGAAAGCGTACATATATACGCATGCGAAAAGCACGTTTTCAGCACTCCGTTTCAGCGATGTTTTGTGCGTTTGCAGAACAGAACAGGTATTAATTGATGGAACAATTAGCGGCACTAATGAACGACGACCCATCCATCGATGCCTCACATGTCAAGTGGGTGTGGCAAAGAAAATTAAAACAAATTACACCATATTGCGGAATAAAATGACGCATTTTGGAAAGAATTGTTTAGAACAAATTGAAACGGCTTGGCAAGGGCCGTGTTGCTTTGGCCACAGCACTAATTCTCTTTAAAGTGTGCACGCTGCCACGTGTTTGCTTTTCGCATCACTTTGCCACCGTCAGCACCTTTCACTTTGGTAGCCACGCTAGAGGTTAATTTTTTCAAGAGGCTGCACACACATGCACTGGAACACGCCACGATTGTGCGTTCAAATTGCATATTTGTTTATAAATTAAATTGTTTATTAGCTGCAGTTTCGTTGCACATATTCACTAAATACTCTTACATATATATGCACTAATTATTTCACTTATGGAAACTTACTCGAATAAATTGAATGAGATATCACAGTCTTCGGCGACAGACTTGAACAAAGTGAACGAGTGTTCGGCAAACCAGAAGCCAGGAAGTCTCGCTGGCCGTTCTGTCAGAGCCGGCCGGAAACGCGAAAAAGCGCTAGAAAATACCCAAAAATGTGACAGAACCATGGCGTTTTTAAACATTCCCAAAGTACCCTTATTGACAATACAGAAATGTAGACAAGTAGCGTTTTATGGGCTTTAATGAAAGCGAAATGGCTGAAATAATTTTCCATGCACGTCAAGTGTTATGGCACCTGTCCATGCTGCCAGCGAAGTGTATAACTAGCTTTAATCAGTCAAATAATTACTTACTTAAACAATTACGTAAGTGCCCTTGATGTATAAATATTAGAATATGCAAGCAACAAAATTATGGTTTTATGCACTTTCAATAAGGTGAAATAAAATGGACAATTCTCTTCTCTGTTCAATCTGACTTTTTTCATAATTAAAAAAAAAACATGAAAATACCCATTGTTGGATACGGTATTTTTAAGAAATACTAAATACTACTGCGAAATGCCATTAAAATGCTTTTAGTATTTGTACAAAAAATGTACGCCGGTTTCGGCATTAGCATTCGGTAAATTCAGCATTTCTTAACTTGGTCACACTACAAATAGCGACGTGGCGACGACGTGAAGCAAAATTCAATCGTTATAAAAAAATTTACCGGTCTAGTACACAGTTTGTCTAGTCGCAGCGGGCAGTTGTCAGCCGAGTCGAGAAATATATATTTATTTGGTTGAGATTGTACTACCTACAAACTAAACATGATCAAAATGCGGTGTCTGGCAGCTGCCGTGCTAATTTTCGGCTACATTGCAACGACAAAAGCCGCCGAAAGTGACGTTCTGGACCTTGGGGACGACGACTTTGCGTCCACACTGAAGCAGCAAGATACGACATTGGTTATGTTCTATGCACCCTGGTAAGTGTGTGTGGGGAGCGGGCGTGGCAGCTCGGGAGTGCAATTACCTTAATCAGCTTGTTGCGTCTGCTTTTTAATTAAATTGCGCTGCGATGAATCGAATCAAATGTACACGTCAGCGTTAAAGAGAGGGTCGAAACAGAAACAAGAAAAAAAAATCAACGACTGCAAAGTCGGTATCAGAGTCGTCGGCCATTTTAAGAGGTAGTGGGCAGAGGGCATGCAGCTTCAACCAGCGAATGTGTTAATACAAATGTCTCTTTGTTCGGGTGTGTGAAGAGATGACTAGGAGAAAACTTCAAAGCTATAATATCCAGATACGATTTCATACGGGTATGGGTGTGTGTGTGTGTGGGCTTGCCGGCCGGTGGCCGGGTTTCCATCTCCTCGGAGAGCAGTGAAAGAGTTCTTTAATTACATTTAATCCCCTCATACCCGTTCGGCTTATCAGCACTAGCAACATAAGCAGTTTAATTAGACGTTGTTAGGGAAATGCGAGTAAATGATAAGGGCGAACGCAACTGATAAGTGTTCGCACCCCTTGACTATAATTACAAACTATTCGACTTTTTGGGTAACATGTCTTCCTGTTGTCGTGATAAAAATGATGAACTAGCTACATTTTTCCCGGAAAAAACTGTGTGACGTGTCCTAATAGACTTTTTTTTTCTGTTCTTATAGGTGCGGCCACTGCAAGCGCCTCAAGCCTGAATACGCCAAGGCGGCTGAGATAGTAAAGGATGACGATCCACCAATTAGGCTGGCCAAGGTTGACTGTACCGAGGCTGGCAAGGAGACGTGCAGCAAGTACTCGGTGAGCGGCTATCCCACACTGAAAATATTCCGTCAGGATGAGGTGTCGCAGGACTACAACGGACCACGCGAAGCCATCGGCATTGCAAAGTACATGCGCGCCCAGGTTGGACCTGCCTCCAAGAATGTGCGCACTGTGGAGGAGCTCGCCAAGTTCCTGGACACCAAGGAGACTTCAATCTTTGGTAGCTTTGAAGACATTGACTCCAAACTGGCGAAGATCTTCCTCAAGTTTGCCGACAAGAACCGCGAGAAGTACCGCTTTGGACACAGCAGCGACGAGGAGGTGCTGAAGAAGAATGGTGAAACGTAAGTGATGCCATCTCAAGACTGCAATTGCGTGTTCATTATATTTTATTTGATACAATCTGTTAAGCAACAGACAATAATAAATAGCTATTAAGTTTGCCTTTGTCCCCTTGTCAAAAATAACACAAATGTATTCGATGGCTCTCGTCTTCCCTACAGCGATAAGATTGTGCTGATCCGTGCTCCACATTTGAGCAACAAGTTTGAGGCGTCCTCAGTCAAGTTTGAGGGAAGCAGCGACCTGAACACCTTCGTCAAGGAGAACTAGTAAGTGCACCACTCTCTTCCATTTCCATATTCTCTCCCAAAGCACACACACTCATTTTACGTTTGTTCGTTGATCCTCTGCAGCCATGGCTTGGTTGGTCATCGTACCCAGGACACGTCGCGCGACTTCCAGAACCCTCTGATCACCGCCTACTACAGCGTCGACTACCAGAAGAACCCCAAGGGCACCAACTACTGGCGCAACCGTGTCCTGAAGGTGGCCAAGGAGTTTGCCGGCCAGATTAGCTTTGCCATCAGCTCCAAGGATGACTTCCAACACGAATTGAACGAATATGGCTACGATTTTGTTGGCGACAAGCCCGTCGTTTTGGCCCGTGATGGCAAGAATCTCAAGTACTCCCTGAAGGATGAGTTCTCCGTAGAGAACCTGCAAGATTTTGTGGAGAAGCTGTTGGCCGGCGAACTGGAGCCATATGTGAAGAGCGAGGCCGTCCCAGAGTCAAACGATACCCCAGTTAAGGTGGCTGTGGCCAAGAACTTTGACGATCTTGTGATCAACAACGGCAAGGACACGCTCATTGAGTTCTATGCCCCATGGTGCGGCCACTGCAAGAAGCTGACTCCCATCTACGAGGAGCTGGCCGAGAAGCTGCAGGACGAGGATGTGGTCATTGTCAAAATGGATGCCACGGCCAACGATGTGCCACCAGAGTTCAATGTGCGCGGCTTCCCCACACTCTTCTGGTTGCCCAAGGACTCGAAGAACAGCCCAGTGAGCTACAACGGTGGTCGCGAGGTCGATGATTTCATCAAATACATTGCCAAGGAGGCGACCACAGAACTGAAGAACTTCGACCGTGACGGCAGGCCCAAGAAGACCGAGCTCTAAGCTCTAATCTTAAGATCTTAACTCTTACTGCTAACTGCATCGCTAATGTGGTGTGCTGTAGTAGCGGTCTAACTAGCATTTCCATATTTTTGTAAAATCGAATGCATTCTCTTCAAACTCTTGATGGGACAATTGTATTAAATTATATAATAGTGATGATAACGCAGATGAACACAAAACCCCCATTAATCCCATGGAACCCATGAAGATGTCACAATAAACTTAAAACTTCATTTATCTACTCAACCAATCGAATGATATTAAGTATTTCATTTATTACAATCCAATAGCTGTGGCGAAGAGGTCCTGTTTGCGCTCGTCCAACATGATGCGAAACCAATCGGGAATGAATGTAAACTGGCTCCTGCCTGGATATGATTTGTAGGAGATCTTCCCCTGGGTAGCATCGAACGTCAACAGATACACGGTCCTGTGGCAATCGACTGGCGACATAAAGCAGCGAATCTGGTCCACCAGCCGCGCCAAGAAATTGACACAGACATGCGGTGACCAGACCTTATCCTGCGCAAACAAATTTCAATCAGATCGGAATGGAATAAGTCAATATAGATATGACTTTTGTGTACTTACGCAATCTTTCCAAATTTGGCGCGCAGATACCTTCTTAATGGTGTGCGCGATGATGTGGCTATTAACATAAGCAACGTGAACATTTTGGATGCCCACTATGAAGCACTTGATCCACCACTTGAGGGCCTCGCTCCGGTTGTGCGTAGTCCATTCGTCAACGCTCATATTGTCTGGGCGAATCTGCAGCTCCGTAAAAATGTAATTCGATTCTGGCATTGTGCTAGAAGGCAGAGAAAAGCAAATTCAATACGATTTCATATATAAAGTACATTCCAGTTCTGTCGTCTCTTACTTCACGTCGTTGGGCTTCTTTGGGATGGCACACTCGGCCAGAACTGGTGCATCGAAAATAAAACGCTTGCCATTTATGCTGAAGGAAAACACTCCGTTGTATTGTCCAGTCGGTTCGCGTGGGTCGCGTGGCTCCGGCAACGTATGTTCATTCTCTGAAAAAAGTTTGCACAGATCTTAATATCATATTAAATTGTAGTAATGGATGGTTAATCCACTGCCCTACCGGATAGGAAGTGCCTGCGCAGCTTTTCGATCCATTCAGCTTTCATTTCCTTCATGGGAGAAGTTTTTGGTTCCGTTAGAACTACGGGGCTGATGTAAATGGTGTTGCGATACTTGGACACGGCGAGGGTCCAACTCTCCTCCATTTCGTAGGGCGTCCTCAAGATTAGTTCCAGAACCTCGCTGCTGCACACGATATCATAATCAACTTGCGTATTCAGTCGATCCTTGGCATTTAGAAAGTTTGTTCCATTGCACTCCATAAACAATAGTATATTGTCCAAGCTTGGCTGCAATAAGTTGAACTTTCGTGGACATTTAGCCTCCGAGTCCCCCAGGTGCAATTGAATTTTGCCCATTTGCGGAACGACTAGGTAGCGCAATCGATTACTATTTTTCTCAAATTTTCCATCCGGCGATAAGCTAAAGCCGCCGTGAGCAAGTGGCTTAGAAAATATTGGAAATCCAGTTCGGTCCGATTGGGTAATGACATGTGGTTGAATATCTAATAGTATTTCTTCAGAAATCATCATGCAGGCATCTGAAAACGCAAGATTATAATTCCCCTTTAAATTGCTTTTACCGTTGCTTTACAACCAAAATGGCAGCGTTGAGTGCTCTCCGCATTCTTATACACATATGTACATACATATGTTTGGATGTACTCACAAATATGTATGCGACTTTCGTTAATTCAGAGTTCGATATTAGTTCGAAATTCCTTTTACTTTTCCTAATAAACCCGATTTGAGTTATTATTCTCGAGGGTCTACTGTGCTCCCACTTCCACTTGCAAAATAACAACAGACTTCGATGGCGTTCTTCATGCCAAAAACGTAAACAAACCGGAAGATTGCCAGACTGCCCGAAACAGATGTTCTCATTCCGCTAGCATTCCGCTGCACATCAGAAAAAAGCCGTTTCTAACTTGAAAAAAAAAGCTGAAAAATTCAAGAAAAAGGAAAATAAGAGTAATTTCATAAATTAATTAACAAATTTTTTATTAACTCCATTAACTCATTTATATCCGCTTGATTACATCTACAGTTGCCCAAGACTTCGCAAGCCAGGTCTTCAATAACAGCAGATTTGACAGAAAAAAAGCAGAATCGGCAGCACTGCCTATGTGGCAACCATTGCAATGTGCGCTGCACGTGTTTCAAATTCGCATGTGTTGCTGGTTCATTCTCCCGGGTCTGTGAGCTGAAACTAATTAGAAACACAGTTTAAAGTAGCTTCAAAGAAATAATATTATCCGAATACAGTGGACCGGCTACCAAGGCAATGGAGGTAAATGCCAGCAAGCTACGATTTTGTGCACAGCGACTTTTACAGTTGACTGCCAGCGAGCCCCAAGACAATGTGTTTGTTCAAAATGTACAAAAGTTCATCAGGAAGCAGGTAAGTTAATGCATTTCAATCAAAAAACACTCCTTACAAACCTTTGCTTTACTTTAGAAATATGTGCCACAAGACGTGGAGCGTCTGTTCGGCAGTCTCAGCGAGCAACTTGCGTGTCCCGCCTACACCGTGCCCCTGGCTGTGAGCTTTGAGGAGCAGCTGCTGCTGTTGCTAAGCATGGCCCTGCGGTGGGACTCTGCTGGCCATGATCTCCATCAATATCAGAGGGAGTGCATTGCGCTGTCAAAGCTTATGGACTTATCAGTGGATGCCCAAAGGTGAGTAGAGATCCCAATCCTGTACATTTGGATCAGTCTCAAAAACTTTGACATCCCTTTAGGTTTGCAAAGAGTTACTTTCGCAACAAGCCAGCTCCATTCGAGAAGATCCAAAGTAATGCCAGTGTACCCAGCAAAAGGGCAAAGAACGCAAAGAGCGGTCAAAAGTTGGATGAGCTGCCACTCCTAAGATGTTGCTACCAGTTGCTGCGAAGTGATACGTCCTACTTCCGGGAGTTGTGGGACTGGTCCGGCTTCATTGCCACCTACTCGCACCTCAAGACCCCATGCCCGATGACACAACTCTACTGCAACCACATCATGGCGATGCTCACCAACATGAGCCCCACACAGCTGAATGCAGAAAATGCCAAAATATCCACAGACGCACAGCTGCGATTCGAACGCGAGAAGGAACAGACATGGGCCATAGCCAGGCAATCCGAAAGCTGCTGCTATTCACCCGATGATGATGATACGCCCGAGCAGATACTCAGCCTGAGCCCCAACCAGAATGTGACCAACATTGAGGGCGTGCTCTTGCCGACATTTAACGCGAAGAACCAGGAATTCTATGCCAGCACTGATGGCTGCTACGATCGCATTGTAAAGGTGGACTCGACGATTGTAAATCTGCGGAGCATTGCCCTCGGGGTGGCAGCAGCCAAGCCCATTTGCCTGTCCGGTCCTGTGGGCTGTGGCAAGACAACGCTTATTGAGTATCTGGCCCGCAAGACTGGACGCATTTGCCCCAAGCCAAAGGAGATTGAAACGCGCGAAAAGGCGCTGCGCAAGGCCGAAGAAGACGACAAATTGCTGACACCGAAAAAGGGGAAAAAGGGGAAAGAAAAGAAGCGAAAACTGGTGGAGGAGGATCTTCCCATTGACCAGGCATTGCTGGATCTGGGTGAAATGGCGCAAAAACATGGCTTTCTGCGGATACAACTGGGCGACCAGACCGACAGCAAAATGCTATTGGGTCAATATCGGTGCACAGATGTGCCTGGCGAATTTGTTTGGCTTCCTGGTGTCCTCACGCAGGTAAGGAAATGAGTAAACTAAATGAACGATATTTTATATGAATGATTATTTGTATGTTTAGGCGGTCATGCATGGCTACTGGCTGCTGCTGGAGGATCTGGATGCTGCCACCCAAGACACCTACACCATTCTCAGCAGTCTGCTGGAGAGGCAATGCCTGAGTGTGCCCGGCTTTCGGGACTCTGTGAAGATTGAGCCGGGCTTTCAGTTGTTTGTGACAGTGCGGTAAGTCCATGGTCCCATTCAAATCATCTTTTTTCTAATAATTCTCTCTGTACATCTCCGTCTGTTAGAACAAACAAATCGGCCAGCAATTCGGGCCAGAGATCACTCTACTCGCTGCTGGATAAATATCTGTATACGATCAACGTTCTGCCGCTCTCCCGCAACGAGCTGTGCAAGGTGGTCAGCACCAACTATCCCAAGCTGGCTACTGTCGCCAATCGAGTGGTGGACGTGTTCCTTACCTTCTCCAGTGGCAATCACATGGCCGCCGATAATCTGCGTCAGCAGGAATCAAACGACAAGGCGGACAACACGGAAAAGTATGTGGCGCTGCCCTTTGAGCAGGTCACACTCTCCTCCAGTCCCAACTCGGGACGTCTGGTCTCGACACGAGATCTGGTGAAGCTGTGCCAGCGCTCGAATGCCCAGTTCTCGGTGACCAGCGCCGAGTGTGCCTACTTTGTGTTCCAGAATGCCGTCGATGTGTTTTGCTCCTATCTGCCGCAGAGCAGGGAGAAGATCACCCTGATCACGAGCATCGGGGCCAAGCTGGGCATCATTCGCTCCAGATGCGAGCATTTTGCCAATGAATACAAACCGGATGTGGATTTTGGACTGGAGATTATCAAAATTGGACGTGCCAGCCTGCTGGCCAAGTCCGAGCTGCTGTCCAACAATGAAAATGAGGACCAGATTTCAGAGCAAGACCTGAAGCGACAGAAACTCACCCAACAGACAAGGAGGGCCATCGGCCAGAGCAGCGTCAAGCGTGCAACCTTCTCGTTTACACGTCTCGCCAGCTGCATCTTGGAACGGATCGCCGTCTGTGTGAGCCACTCGGAGCCCGTGCTGCTGGTGGGGGAGACGGGCGTCGGCAAGACCTCATCCGTGCAGTATCTGGCCGAGCGCACCGAACACAAGCTGGTCGTGGTGAACATGAACAACCAGTCGGATGTCTCGGATCTGGTGGGCGGCTTCAAGCCCGTCGAACTCAACTATGTACTGTTGCCGCTGCGCTGCGAGTTTGAGCATTTGCTCTGCGAGACCTTCAATGCCGAAAAGAACATGCAGTTCCTGCGGATCTTTGCCACACACTACAACGGTGGCAGGCACAGCGTCATCATACGCACCATGATCAGCCTGTGCCAGCAGGTGTTCAAGAATCCGGACCTTAAGAGCCACCAGATGGTGCCGCGTTGGCGCACGCTGTCCGAGAAACTGCAGAAGCTGCAGACGCAGCTGGACAAGAGCATAAACATTTCGTTTGCCTTCATACCCGGCTCCCTGGTAAACTGCATCAGCAATGGAGAGTGGGTGCTGCTGGATGAAATCAATTTGGCATCGGCCGAGACCTTGGAGTGCCTGTCGACCATCCTCGAGCCGGAGGGTTCGGTGGTGCTGCTGGAACGGGGCGATTTCACGCCCGTTAAGCGGCATCCGGACTTCCGCATCTTCGCCTGCATGAACCCCAACACGGACATTGGCAAGAAGGATCTGCCCGTGGGCATACGCAATCGCTTCACCGAATTCTTCGTGGACGAACTGACGACGGACGCGGACCTTAGTCTGCTCGTGAGCGACTACCTGGCCAACACGGGCATCCAGCGGAAGTCTGTGCACAGCATTGTCCAGCTCTACAAGTCGCTGCGTCGCCTCTCGGAGCTCCAGCTGAACGACGGGCTGGGCAATCGTCCCGTTTACTCGCTGCGCACCCTGTGCCGCAGTCTGCGCATCTGTGCCCGGAATCTGTGCGGCTCCATCGAGCGGAATCTGTACGAGAGCTTCTGCCTGAGTTTTCTCACCCAGCTGGATCCCGAGTCGCATCATGTGGTGCTGCTGCTAATCCGCAATGCCCTGCTGAGCAACGTCAAGGCTGTGCTTAGCAAGCAGCTGCCCCGATTGGGGGAGAATTATCTACAATTCGAGGGCTACTGGATACAGCTGGGCGGCCTGGAGCAGCAGTCCTGCTCCCACTACATCCTCACGGAGAGCGTGCAGAAGAATCTGCAGGATCTAGCGCGCATCATATCGATTGGCAAGCTGCCCATCCTGCTGCAGGGACCCACCAGTGCCGGCAAGACCAGTCTGATCGACTACGTGGCCCGTCGCAGTGGCAATCGCTGTCTGCGCATCAACAATCACGAGCACACCGACCTCCAGGAGTACATTGGCACCTATGCGGCCGATCTGGAGGGCAAGCTCACCTTCCAAGAGGGTGTCCTGGTGCAGGCCATGCGGCAGGGCTTCTGGATCATCTTGGACGAACTGAATCTGGCCTCCACCGACATTCTGGAGGCGCTCAATCGCGTGCTGGACGACAATCGAGAGCTGTACATTGCCGAGACGCAGACGCTGGTGAAGGCGCATCCCAATTTTATGCTCTTTGCCACACAGAATCCGCCCGGTCTGTATGGCGGCCGCAAGACCCTTTCGCGTGCCTTCAAGAATCGCTTCATTGAGCTGCACTTTGCGGATATTCCGCGCGTGGAACTGGAAACCATACTCGAGAAGCGCTGCCTCATCCCACCCTCGTACGCCCGCAAGATGGTCCAGTGCATGACGCAGCTGCAGCAGCACCGCAAGAACACCGCCAAGCAGGTGTTCACCCTGCGCGATCTCTTCCGCTGGGGCAACCGGTACACGCACGCGGACAAGTCGCTGCACGACGATCCGCGCTACGACTGGAATCAGCATCTCGTCGAGGAGGGCTACCTGGTGCTGTCCGCCAAGGTGCGCACCCCCGACGAGCACCAGTTGATCGAGCGGACGCTGCACTCGAACTTCAAGAAGATCATCGACCACCAGCTGCTCTTCGACATCCAAACGGAGCGCGAGAGCTCCTCCCCGGTGAGCAGGCACATCCTGCAGGCCATACGCAACTTTAAGCTACGCGGAGACATTGTGTGGACGAGGAACATGACCCGCATGGCCGTGCTGACGGCCAAGGCCCTGGAGTTCGATGAGCCTGTGCTGCTGGTGGGTCCCACTGGCTGTGGCAAGACCACTGTCTGCCAGCTGCTGGCCAGCATAGCCGATGTCCAGCTGCGGATACTCAACTGCCACATGCACACGGAGGGAGCGGACTTTCTGGGCGGCCTAAGGCCCTGCCGCGGCCCGGACAGCACGCAGCTCTTCGAGTGGGCCGACGGACCGCTCATCTATGCGATGCAGGAGGGCTCCTACTTCATGGCCGACGAGATATCGCTGGCCGAGGACTCTGTGCTGGAGCGTCTCAACTGCATACTCGAGACGGAGCGCACTGTGCTGCTGGCGGAGAAGGGGGGCGTCAATCCCGACTCGGATACGGACTTTGTGGTGCAGGCCAAGGCGGGCTTCCAATTCCTGGCCACCATGAATCCCGGCGGAGACTTTGGCAAGAAGGAACTCTCGCCCGCGCTGCGCAATCGCTTCACCGAGATCTGGTGCCTGCCCTCCGACAACAAGGCGGACCTCATCGAGATCGCCCACAACTGCATGGTCCGACAGGACGACGCGTCCAGCCGCAAAGTGGCCGAGTACCTGGTGGAGATAGTTCTCCACATGCGCCAATCCAACGACAAGTTCAGGTTCTCTGTGCGCGACATTCTCGCGTGGGCCAATTACATTGCCAGCAATCGGCATCTGAGCTTCGCCGAGCAGGCCATCTTTGGGCTGGAGACCATCTTCCTGGACGCCCTGGAAATGCTACTCCACGAGCCGCAGGCCCAGGTGGAGCAGCTGAAGCGGACGATCATTGAGGAGGCCATCAAGCAGGCTGCCCTGATCCTAGGCGAGCACTTCACCCTCGCGGATGTGACCCAAAAGCGGGGCGATAGAGTGGAGATGGATGCGGCCAGCTTTGGCCTGCGACCCTTCTACATTGCTGTGAACCAGGAGCGGCGCTTGTCGCCCGCCAAGGAGGATGCTCCCTTCTTCTTTGATGCCCCCACCACCAAGCAGAATCTATTCCGTCTGCTGTCGGCGCTCTCGTTGCAGAAGCCGGTGCTGCTGGAGGGACCGCCGGGCGTTGGCAAGACATCCATTGTGGAGAGCATCGCGGCGGCCATTGGCTACCAGATTGTGCGCATCAATCTGTGCGAGCACACGGATCTGGCCGATCTCTTTGGCACCGATCTGCCAGCCGAGGACAATTTGCTCGAGTCCAACAGGCAGGATGCATCGAAGGCGGACATTGGCAGCTTTGTGTGGCGCGATGGACCCCTCTTGGCCGCCCTGAAGGCTCAGAATACCTGGATACTGCTCGATGAACTCAATCTGGCGCCCCAATCTGTGCTCGAAGGACTCAATGCCGTTTTGGATCACCGCGGGGAGGTGTACATACCCGAGCTGAACAAGAGCTTCCATCTGGCTGGCAGCACGCGCATCTTTGCCTGTCAGAATCCGCTCAAGCAGGGCGGCGGACGCAAGGGCTTGCCCCAATCCTTCCTCAATCGCTTCACCAAGGTCTACCTGCGCAAGCTGACCACCGAGGATCTGCTGCATGTGGTGCAGGTCAAGTACGGCGGCTACTTTGAGCAGCTGGGCAGCCATTTCATCTCGCTATTGGACCAGCAACCAGAGACTGAGATTCCTGTCCAGGGCAACCTCTTTGACCTGTACAATGGCAAGGCAACCACCGAGGAGGAATCCACAAGAACCTTTGATTTGGCAGCTCGTCTGGTGCGCTTTTCGGAGCAGCTGGACGGCGGCGTGGCCACCATGGAGTTTGGCTACAGGGGCGGACCCTACGAGTTCAATTTGCGCGACATTCTGCGCTGGTGCGACCTGCTCCACAATCCGCAAACGGGCTACATCATCAAGGCGACGCCTCAAACCTCCTTTCGGTCCGCCTTTCGTGAATTTCTGCTCACACTGTACGAACGCATGCAGCTGGTCTACTACCAGCGGATGCGCTGCGACCAGGACAAGATCTACATACGGAATGCCTTCGCGCATGTCTTCCACTGCGATGCGGATCAGCTGAATGCCGTGGCCGAGGATGTGGCGCTCTACTGGACGGCAGACAGGGTGTATCTCAATGATGTGGTGCTGCAGCGGGAGCAGGTCGACAGCCTGGACATGGCTATGGCTACGCAGCAGGAGCACAACGCTCCCCTGCTACTCCAGAGTCAGCGGCAGTTGCTCAAGCAAATTGTCGAGACGGTGCACATGGAGAAGCCGCTGCTGCTCTGCGGCGCCACGGACAGTGGCAAGACCAAGCTGATTGACGCCCTGTGTGTGCTCTCGAATCGGGTGTGCAATACGGACATCATTGACGACTCTGTGACGGGCAGTTTCCAGCAGGTAATCTACCCACGACTGTGAATCTGTCACTCAACAACCCTAATCCTCTGTTCTCTGTCCCACTAGATTGATCTGAATCGACATCTGGAAGCCATTTACAAGCGAGTGGAGACTCTGGTCTTTGCCTCTGTGCAGAGGGCATTCGTGCAGCGCCTACAGACAGACTTTGTGCAGCAATTGTGGAGCTGCTGGAGCAAGTACAACATGCTGGGCAAAGTGACAGAAGGTGAGAGTCGACAGAGTGGGTGGCGGCTCCCCTGTTTTTTGGCTGACCTTTCTATGCCTTTCAGAATCCCAGCAGCAGCACAGCAGCGTGGCCGATGAACTGCTGTTCTTTGGCAAGCGTCTGCATGCGCTCGGTCAGATCATTCAGAAGCTGGAGGTAACGCCCGAGAGCTGCCAAGCGGAGGCATTCCAGCAGCTGGGTGAGATCGGAACGCAGTTCATGGTGCTCCAGGGATACATCAAGAGTGCGGAATCGCTCAACACGGGCGGCTCCTTCGAGTGGGTGGACTCGCGCATTGTGACGGCGTTGAAGTGCGGCCAATTCATGTTGCTGGAGCACGTGAATCTCTGCTCCTCGGCTGTCTTGGATCGTCTGAATCCGGTCTTTGAGCCAAACGGAAATCTACTGATTGCCGAGAAGGGCATCAGTGGCCAGGACAGCGCTGAGGTGGTCCATAAATCGCCAAACTTCCGAGCCTTTCTCACCATCGATCCCAAGAACGGGGAACTGTCGAGGGCCATGCGCAACCGATGCGTGGAGCTGTCATTGTCCCGTGACGAGTACACCATGGACGACATGCGTGCCTTTGTCCACGGCCAGGGCGTGCACCAAACAGAGGCCATTGACTGCATCCTGGACATACATCGCGCCATAAGCCAGCTGACCGAGTTCAACGGCTACTCCATCTCGCATCTGACACAGTTGGCGTTCCTGAGCGCCGCCTATCGACGCATCGGCTACCACCTGAAGCGGGCCATCTATGTGGCCGCCATGGAGGTGTATGTGTACTCGGCCAACACGGATCTAATGGGCTACGGGCTGTCCTACTACCAGAACAAGCTGCGCGAAGTGGTGCTCGCCCGCACGGAGCTCTACAAGGGAGAGGCGGCGAGCATCGGTGAGGGTGCGGCGGAGGAGGATCTGCTCAGCGATGCCATCATCAGCACGGGGAATCTCGATGCTCTCAAGCTAATCAAACTCCAGGCGGTGGCTCTTCGAGTGCTGCTGCGTGCCGCAGTCTCCCAAGAGGTGGCTGAGGTGCCGCAGCAGCAGCTCGCGTCGATCTTCCATCGAATGGAGGCCCTGGACTTGAGTGGACTCAATCTGCAGGAGCTGTGCCGCCACTTTATCTACATGCTGTACGAGTCGTCTGCCTTTGGCGATCTCCAGATGCGACATCTTTACCTGCAGCCGTGGCTCACAGAGCAGCCAACGGAGGTCCAAGAGTTGGCCGAGAAACTATGCAACTGTTTGGCCGAACATGCCAGCGCCGCCGGAGGGCATTCGCTGCTGCTGCTGAATCTGCCATGGAACCGGAAGCTCTTTCCCCGTCTGCGCGACTATGCAGCGGCCGTAGAACAGGCGTCGCCTGCTGATACCCTAACGATCAGTGCCTCGCTTCTGGCTCGACTGCTGCTCCGAGATGTGCCCAGCCTCAGCCAGGGAAACGCTGCCCCCAGGGTGCAGCTGATGGACGCCCTGCAGTACTCGCAGGCTTTGCAGGAGGAGAAGGTTACAGAGAAATACGCGAATGACTTTCTGGCAAACCTTGGCCGCTTCCTGGAAGCTCTGCATCGCGGATTGTTGCAAGACTTGGCGGCAGCTCGCTTGGACCTGCCACAGTATGCACAGCTCGTGACGCGGTTCCACTGGTTCAATCGCCTGCTGGCCACAAGCCAGCAGAAGCTTCTCTACAACAACGAGATATTTGTGCCGCTGATGCACAAGCTGGTGCTGCACTTTCAGTGGCTGCAAAAGCATCTGCTGGCACCCGTGTGGCAGGACTTGAGCGGACAGCCAGTACTGGCGGAGAGTGTGCAGAAGCTCAGCCATTATGTGGCAGAGACGAGGCGTCCCCTGAATATATCCTGCAAGATATACGGCAAGCAGTTTACCCAGTTCCAGCCCCACTATCTGGTTGATCAGGTGAGTAAATCAGGAACCCCAGAGATATAAAGGTTCAATGTTTCCTTTGGCGTAGATCAAATTGCATTTGGACCTGGAACAACTGGAGCGCGACCTGAGCGTGGTGCCACGGTACGGCAGCTTGGAGGAGACTGTCTGGCTGAGAAGATGGCTGGCCCTGCAGTCGGATGAGGCGCACAAGTGGCGCTCGTTCCAGCGCACGCACACGCAGGGCTTTGCCGTAAAGACATTCGAGCTAAACGGTTCCCTGGCGGATGCGCTACAAACATCGCTGCAGAGACTCCAAACGACGCTCAAGGAGGTTCCAGAAATCACATTAGAGCATAGACTCTCCATCGACATGGACCTTGAAGGCCTCAGGACTCTGTTGAGTGCGCAAGAGCAGGATGGGGAGGAAAAGGCGCAGCAGCAGAGCCAAGTAGACATCGCTTCGCCGCAGCTTTTGATGGCTGCCCTAAGGGAGTTCTTCATGGAGCGCCTGTTGACGGGCACGCTGCATGAGGACTCTGAGGACCAAGTGAATCCCATGTACACGGACCAGCTGCTCACGCTGAACAGCCATCTGTGGCAGTGCCTCAACAGCATGGACAGCGCCACACACGTACAGATTCGCAGTGTCTGGCGGGAGCTGTGGCAGGAGTTGGATCAGCTGAAGGATGCCCAGGACTTTGGCCCGCTGCTAGAGAAGATGGGTGCCAGCTACAAGGGACTGCGCACCTATCAACGACAATACCGCAACGCCCTGCAATGCTACCAGTTGGGTAATCTGTCCACGCGCCTCGACTGCGTGTTAGGACCTTCCTCCTTCGAGGAGGAGAAGGATCTGTCCAGCCGCTACAGCTACCAGGGCCCCGCCCTGACCAGTGTCCTGCTGTCGCTCATCTGCCAGAAGAACGGCCAGCTGCGTTCGGTGCCCATCAGCCAGCTGCAAACGTGGCGCGCCTCGCTGCAACAGACACGCCAGCTGATCTGGCAGAACGCCACACTGCTGGCTCCTGGCTACAGTGCGCGGGCCAACAACTGGCGGCAGGCGCGGGAGAGTGGCAGCCTGCTGCTGCAGGAGCTGGAGTACGTGACGCACCTGAGTCGCGGGGCACAGAAATCGGACGCGGGCTTTGAGAGTTGCAGTACCGAGCTCCGCGCAATGCTCGGCCAACTGCAGAGGAGCGATGAGGATTCCCTGACGGCCGCCTTCGATGTGGCCTTCACCAATGCCCTTGTGGGAGCTCTGGAACTGTGCCTGCTCACCCACGCCCCGCTGATCGATCCCGTGGAGAAGAACCGTCTAAAGAACCAGTACATAACCGAGGACATTGACTGTCTGCGGAACCTGACCACCGCCTACGACTTTATGGGCATCGTCATGGACTACCGCCACTTTGGGGAGGAGATCCACACGGAGCTGGTCACTCGCCTGCAGGCGGCCCGTCAGCGACAGCAGCAGCTCTCCCAGAAGCTCGCCCTGCGACCCGATCAGTGTGTGTACGCCGCTCTTGTGCAGGATCTGACGCATTTCCTGCACTCGAACGGAGACTGCCAGACGCTGTACAACCTGCTGCGCGTCGTTCGCACGGATTGGAGTGCTTTTGCGGGTGCCCAGGTGGCCACCAGTGGCCAGCAGAAGAGCACCAGCGAGACGCTTGGCAAGCTGCAGCTGTGGCTGGAAAATGCCCAGAGATTCGTCCATCACACGCTCTCCCGCTACACCGCCTACTACCAGGACTTTGTGGAGCCCATCAAGTGCGCCGTCAATCAGCTGAGGTTCGGCCTGGAGACGCTCAAAGTGATCTTTGCACGGGTGCAGCAGGCGGGCAACGTGACCCAAGCGGAGCAGCTGCAGCAGACCATCGGCGAGATTGTGCAGTTCCCCTCCCAGCAGCCGCTACGCATACGAAACAGCCACCTGTACGGACTGCTATCGGAACTGCCGCACTCGGAGCACGAGTACTTCCGCCTGCTGAAGGCCAAGCTGAGCGAACTGCGCAACTACATCGCCCTCGCGTCGAGCATCGACGAGGCAAGCTTTGCGGCCTACGACGATGCTCTGAGTATCTGCAACCAGACCTGGCAGCAGGAGGAGCAGCGTCGCTGCCAGCTCAAGGCGGAGGCGGAGAGTCTGTACGTGACCAAGAGCCGGGGCGGCGTGGACAGTGACGAGCTGGTGGAGCTGCAGGAAATCGAGCAGAACTTCCCCACCCATCTGGAGGACGACTTTGCCGAGTTTCTGGCCCAGCCCACACTCGAGCAGGTGCTGAAGCTCGACAAGAAGGCCGACAGCAAGGCGAAATTGTCGCAGATTGTGGCCGAACAGGATTACGCCTTCCTGGCGCGCAACTTTATCGAGGTGATGGCCCGCCACACACCCGTCTACTATCGGGAGCAGTCCAAGGAGACGGCAGCAGCAGCAGCAGAACTGCATTTCCTGTCGCCATATCTGGCCCGCTTCCAGGTCTTTGCCCATCTGCATGGCCACTACAAGGCCGCTCTGGGCGCTGCGCTCGACGAGAGCGCCTGCAATGGCCTGGCCTTTGGGCTGGCCCTGCAACAGCGCCAGCTGCGTGACATCGATCTGCAGGAGGAGGCGGGAGGAGCACACAAGAGCCAGCCGTACGACTACTACAAGGACTCGAACATAGCCGAGGTGCAGGGCTGCATGGACGTGCTGGGACGCATCGAACGGCGAGTGGTGGAGCAACTGGAGCTGTATCCAGAGCACGCGGGACTGGCCGACATCCGACTGGTGATTGGACGCATCCGCAAGCTGCCCGCCCACGCCTGTGTGGTGCGCTTCAACACGGGCTTCCAGCTGCTGCGCCAGAAGGTGGCGCTCTGGAACGAGGTGGCCCATCGCAAGAACAATCTCGTGCCCGAGGAGATGGAGGTGGCCGAGTTTGTGCAGCGCTGGACCAAGCTGGAGTTGCAGCACTGGCGCCAGTGCCTCAACCAGACCGCCGAGCAGGTGGAGCTGCAGGCGCATCGCTACTGGTTCTTCATCTACAACCTACTGCAGCAGTTCATCCAGCAGAAGAAACTGGACCACTCCTACACGGACATCAAGTTTGCCGAGCAGCGCTTCGGGCAGGATCAGCTGCTGGACGCGCAGGATCTGGGCGAGGCCAGTCGCGTCGAGCTGCCCCAAATGGTGCGCATCCTGCGACAGTTTGTGGAGGCCTCCGCCTACGGTGACTTCCATGTGCGCCTTCAGCTGCTGCACGGCTTCGAGATGTATCTGCACAACGTGGAGCGGGCGGGCAAGATTGAGGGGCTGCCGCCACTGATTGCCGCGCTGCACAATCTCCAGCTGTACTTCGCGCAGTTTGCGGGCGAGGTGGCGGAGAACGTGAAGGCGCGCCGGGCGCCCATCGAGAAGAAATTGCGCGAATTCGTGAAGATTCAGAGCTACAGCAAGGACCTGAGCTACTTCAGCATGCGCAACAATGTGGCCGGCGTGCACCGGAACCTCAACAAGTTCCTGAAGGAGTACAAGCTGGCGCTGCAGGCGAAGATCAGCGAGGTCTTTCAGCCCAAGGACGCCACCGCCAAGGACTACAGTTTCGGCAACGAAAAGGCCAAGAATCAGCGGCACCTCAACAAGATTAAGTCACTGCTCGCCGACCAGCCGGCCTGCTTCCTGGCCAGCCAGCAGCTGCGCGACAGCTTCGCCATCCGCTCGGAGCATGTGGCCGACAATGCGCTGCTGCAGCGACTGGACAAGCACTTTGCCACCGCCCGTCATGTGGTGGAGGAGACGCTGGCGCATGTGCCCTACGGGGAGCTAATCACGGAGCTGGACGAGCTGCTGTCCAGCCAGCTGGAACGCTGCGAGCATCTGCGCGCCCTCAATGTGGACCGTAGCAAGGAGCGGCCACAGCAGAAGTTGCAGGCCAAGCAGATTCTTCAGCAGAAGCGCAAGGCGCTGACGGACCTCTTCAAGACCCTCCATCGACTGGGCGTCAGCTACAAAACGGGCCTCATGGAGCTCTCGCTGCGCACCGAATTCGAGGACTTTGAACTGCCGCCCTACTGCATCCGGGCCATGCTGCCGCGCCTGCATCCCGGCTGGCAGCATCTGAACGAGAACCTGGACCTCTACTTCATGAAGAGCGTGTTCAAGCTGAAGCTGCTGCAGAACATCATGCTGACGCCGCTCTCGGAGCTGGGGCCGCCCAATATCGAGCGCATCAAGGGCTTTGCCGTGGACATGTTCCTGCTGGTGCAGCAGCAGCGTCAACAGCTCTCCGATGCCACACGGCAGCTGCACGAGCTGCGCAACGCTTTGGCCAATCTCCGGCAGGTGGCCGATGCCAGGGAGCGGGCGGAGACCGATCTGAAGTCGCTGGACTTTGCCCGCAGCGCGGATGTGGGCGCTGAGATGAGGCAGAAGCTCTGTCAGATCCACTATGTGCTCAGGCAGTGGCAGATGTTACTCAGCTGTGCGCCCCCAAGCCTCTCATCGCCGGAGATCAATGAGCACCGGGCCCTGGAACGGGCAGTGCCTCTGCCGCAGTCGCAGCTCCTGGAGCTGTGTGGTCAGATCCTGGCGAGCAGCCAGAAGCTGCTGCACGAGCTAAACGGCACCAGCCTCGAGTTTGTGTCCACACACAAGATGGAGCACTACCAGAAGGGCTACCGCCAGATCCTCGAGACAATTGAGAAGATTCTCGCGCTGCTTCGAACCGAATCGAGTGCACACCTGCCTGTGGCTCAGCCACTGCTGGAGCTGCTGTCCAATCTTCAAGCTGAGACACACGCTCAGCCCTCGTCGCAGGAGGAGCAGGGGGAGCCCATCGATGTGGCCAACGCGGACACGGAACTGGCCAACATTGCCCACTGCGTTCTGCTGTCCCTGCAGAAGATCTACAAGCAGCACGCCCAAGCACAGCAGAACGGCAAGGAGGAGGAGCAGCAAACTGAGGCGCTGCAGGAGCAGCACCTGAAGAAGTGTCTGACCGGCGGTCTGGCTACGGACTGGCAGCTCCTGAGCCTGCCCCGCGTCCTCGAGAAGCTCTCCAATGTGCTGCTGGTGCTGAAGCACGCCCATCCCAGTGCCGAGAAGCTGCTGTGCCTGCGTCGCGCCGTGGCACTGATCCCCATCCTGGAGCAGTATCAGCTGCTGGCCGACTACCTGCTGCTGCAGCAGCTGGGCACGCACAAGGTCTCGGCCAAGCTGCTGTCCGTGATGCTGACGATATTCGTGGAGATCGGCAGCAAGGGATTCTGCGTGCCCCCCGACCTGATGCAGGACGAGGAGGGGCAGTCGAAGCAGGACTCGAAGAACGGCGAGGGCTTCGGCCTGGAGGATGGCACGGGGGAGAACGATGCCTCGGATAAGATTGAGTCCGAGGATCAGCTGGACGATGCCAAGCGGCCGGAGGATCGCAAGGACGAGGGCGACAAGCAGGAGCCCGACTGCAAGGAGGAGAAGGGCATCGACATGAGCGACAACTTCGATGCCAAGATGCAGGACGTGGAGAAGCCCGAGAACGAGGAGGACGACAGTGGCGAGTCCGAGGACGAGGAGGAGCTCAACAAGGAGATGGGCGAGACGGAGGAGGGCGCCGAGAAGCTGGACGAGCAGATTTGGGGCGACGACGAGGAGAAGCCCGAGGAAGAGGAGCCGGAACTGAACGAGGAGGATCAGGGCAAGGGCAGCAAGGACGAGAAGGACACGCACAACGATCTGGACACGAAGAACGAAGCCGCCAAGGAGGATGGCCGCGATGAGAAAGAAAAGGACGCCCTGGATGCCACCAACGAGCCTGGTGACACCGAGGACAAGCGCAAGGAGCAGGCCAAGGACATTGATGACATGAATGATCCGGAAATGGACGAGGAGCAAACGAATGCCGTCCACAACGAACTGGAGGAGCCGCCAGAGCCCGAGGAAATGGATCTGGGCGACATGAACGACGTCGACGAGGGCCACGACGAGACGGAGGAGCCCACAGACGAGAATCCCTTCGACATCGATGCCATGAAGGAGAACATGCAGCCGGCCGAGGACGCCGACGGCGATGCCGAGGAAGAGCCAACAGAGGCGGACGCCCAACCAGAGAGCGATGACAGCGACGACTCCGAAGACGAAACGGAAGCGGGCAAGGATGCTGCTGAAGCTGGCCAAAATGGCCCAGAAGACGAGGGAGAAGACCCAACACCGGAAGACGAGAAGGAGGAGCCCACGACACAGACGCGTGGCGAACTGGAAACCGAAGAGGAAGAGACACCCGCCGATGCAGAGGACCCTGAGGAAGCCGAGAAGCGCGAAGAGAAGCCGGAGCAGCACACACAGTCGCAGGACAAGTCCAGCAAGGAGGAGAATGTGCAGTCTGTGCCGGAGACCGAGAAGAGCAGTTCCGCGGATCAGGTGCAGCAGCCGCAGGATCAGGATGTCAAGCAGGAGCAGAAAATGGACGAGCAGGAAACGGGCGAGGAGAAGGATGGCGTTGGCCAGGCCGAGAACGATGTAAGTGCGAGCGAGCGAGCGAGCGAGCGTGGATATAATCTCTCCTTCGATTATCACTCCATTTGTAACCCTTTTGCAGACCAATGATGGCGGCCACCAGGGCGTAGCCGAGACCCAGGAGACTGTGTCCCAGGAGGAGCGCAAGAACGAGAAGCAGACGCAGGAGAAGCGCAAGCAGGGACGCACCAACGAGGAGCGCACTCTGGGCAAGCATCACCTGAATCCCTGTATTCCATCGAAATCGAAATCTAATCTGATTAATTTTCAACAGGTGAAGCGGAGAAGAATAAATTGAAGCAACTGAAGACCATTGACCAGATGCAGGAGCCCAAAGAAACGGAAGAGTCCGAACAGCAGCAGCAGCAGCCGGAGGAAACAGATCCGGCCGAGGCAGAGGAGTACCAGCACGTCAAGGACCCAAAGAACAGTGACAAGACAACGCTGGACAATGCCACCGAAGAGCAATCGAAGAAGATTCAGCACCAAGAGGAGGATGAGGCGCCCGCTGAAGAGACTGAAGCGGAGAATGCCGATGAATTGATGGACACCGAAGAGCCAGCACCCGATCAGGAGGAGGACACACAGCTCGAGCAGCTGGGGGCTGAGAAGACGGAACAAAAGTCCGACAAACCCTCCAAAACGGAGCAGTCGAAGGAACGACTGGAGACACCCGATGGCATGGAGATCGAGGGAGAGGTGGTCCCCACAATGACAGTGCCACGCAGTGCAGAGACGACGGCGCACAGCAAGTGAGTAGATTCGACTGCAAAAAATCCCCGGATGCTAATCTCTGATTGAACACAGCATCGAACTACTGATGGACAAGAGCGCACAGGCGGAGGAGCTAAGCACGGGCCAGCAGATGGAACTGCGACAGATGTACCAGCAACAGTTGACCACATTCCGCGGCGTAAGTTTTGGGGATTCCGTTGCTCAGTCTCCCATTTAATCGTGCACTCCCAATCCCGTTTTTATGCAGACGCAGCCGCAGCACGAGGACTACGAGAACTGGCAGAGCATATCCAGTCGCATGACCCAGAACGCTCGCGAGCTCTGCGAGCAGCTGCGCCTCATATTGGAGCCCACAAAGTGCACGCGACTGAAGGGCGACTATCGCACCGGGCGACGCATCAACATGAAGAAGATCATTCCCTACATAGCCTCACAGTTCCGCAAGGACAAGATCTGGCTGCGACGCACCAAGCCGGCGCAGCGCGACTACAAGATCACGATTGCCATTGACGATTCCAAGTCGATGCACCACAACAATTCCAAGACGCTGACCCTGGAGGCCATCTCACTGGTCTCGCAGGCCCTGACGCTGCTGGAGAGCGGCCGCCTGAGCATTGTCTCGTTCGGCGAGGCGCCCCAGATCATCCTCAACCACACGGAACAGTTTGATGGTCCGCGTTTGGTGAACGCCCTAAACTTTTCCCAGGACAAGACAAAAATTGCCGGACTGCTGGACTTTATGCGCACTGCAAACGCGGAGGAGAGCGGCCTGGGCGGAGACAATGGTCTGTTTGAGAATCTGCTGCTCATCCTCAGCGATGGCCGCAACATATTCAGCGAGGGCGCCCAGAAGGTGAAGAGTGCCATCAAACTGGCGCGACTGCAGCGCATCTTTCTCGTGTACATTATCATTGACAATCCCGATAATAAGGTAGGAGAAACAAGCAAGGATTGCGCTGCTTTGTATACTAATCACTCGCTCCTTTTAGAACTCAATACTGGACATACAGCATGTGGCGGTGAACGCGGATGGTTCGGTGAACATCAGCTCGTATCTGGACAGTTTTCCGTTCCCCTACTACGTGATTGTCAGGGATCTGAACCAGCTGCCGCTGGTGCTCAGCGAAGCCATGCGGCAGTGGTTCGAGCTGGTGAACAGCGAGTGAACATAGCAATACAAAATTACAGATTGGTCTGTACAGCACTGCAGCACTGTATCATGAAGATACGAGTTATGATTTCCATTATTGACACGTTTTTTATGAATAGGTTTAAGTAGAAATGTTACGAGTTTATCTGTAGATGGATTAGCTTTATGAATGGCCGGCCAGACTAGCGTAGTTTTAAGTGCACATGTTCCCTACCATTATTATTACCCTGTAATAAAACCTTTCTTGAGATATTCGCGGGGAACTTTTAAAGGCAAGTGCGGGCTTGCAAGTGCGAATCGGATGCGGATGCAGCTGCACTGAGACACAGTCCCAACGAGTACGTTCCAAGGGCTTTAATCGTTTTATCGTGAGTCTGAAGGGTCAATAATATACATACAACTTGAAGGTACTCGATTGCCAAAGGAAACTCAGAAACATTAACTACAGTAAGAAACTTGGAAACACTGGGAATTTTAATTGCTACTCAGTTTTGATTTAAGTGCTAATATTTGTAGCTCAGACATCAGTCGTTAGGGTTTCGTTGTTAACGTTTCTGTAATGGGAGAAGACGATGAACCAAAAGTATATGCCAATAGCTGCAAAGAGAACAAAGAAAGGCGAGATCGGTGTGAGCCAGGAGCAGATGCTTGAGACTAAAGTCGAACCCACATGTATACCCCAGAACGGAAGGCACTATAAAGGCCGCCTCCTTTTGCCATTCGGAGATAATATAGATGACGTAGGCGATCAAGATGACATAGTTGGTGAGGCTGGTAATGAGGAAGAAGATCAGCAGAACGGATGATTTCTGTGGGCTGTGCAGGGAAGTGGTTTAAGGCTAATAATGTTATGACAGAGCTGAACATACGAGCAAAGCACCGCCGATCAGGAAGACACAGCCAATGCAGTGGCAAATAGCCACCGCCTGCTCGATCCTACTGACGTAGTCTCCTGCAATGAACAGAGGGATAGGTTACAATCGGGGTGGTGGGTGGGGGGGACTATTGACTCAGTCAATGAACTTACTATGTGCGCCTATGGTGGCCACGATTACATTTATCACAAAGTCCAGGCAGGCGATGAGTATGCATCCCTTGCGCAGTTCAATGCAGTAGCAGCAGAATTTGAATCGTAGCATTTGAGGATTATTATGGGTTGATTTATATTTTAGTGATGTAAATGTTATTTTTTCTGATTGAAAAGGCAAGGCTGGATATGATGTGTGCAGCACTAAGCAGGACGAAGCAGAGCAGACTTGGAATCAAAAGCCAAAGAACTGCACACGGCTACAATCACAGCTAGTTCTTGCAGGCACCGAAGAGCCAAACTAATTCCTTAGCAGACCGACAAACACATTCTATGCTGGCAGAAAAGGCTTCTATAATTATTTTCAATTTTGAATTGCGCTCAAATGGAACATTTTAGCAATGAGAGAATACATTAATAATTTGATATTGACTGGATAAGTCCTTGATTGATCTGGTCTATAAGAATAGCGTACCGCCCAGAGCCGCATAGAAGGAGTAGGCCACCAGCCAGCAGTACAAAGAGAGCCCTGTACAAGGAGAATGATTAATGATTAAATTAAAAGACGCAAAGAAAGCAGCTGGGGAACACTTACAGAACATTATGAAATAGGTTACCAATACAAAGTACCAGATGGCGAGTATTGCATCGGCCACAAACAGGGGGATCAGATATAGGACAATGGCTATGGTCATCAATATGTAGAGGATCATGTATTTGGTCTTTAGCTGCAGAACGAAATCGAAGGATGAATCTGATCCGTATAAGGCGTAGATGGGTCTTAACATACCTTAATGGAGCCGTAAACCAAGCCAGCGCAACTAATCAAATGTACTAGGATTAAGAAAATAGTCAGCTTGTGGCACAGATCGGGTGTTCCTGGGGTAGTGGCAATGTCACAGTCGTGATTACTTATCCTCTGACACATATGGTGTGTCCTGTGTGGGTATGTGACTGTCACTCACCCGTTCCTGCGGTTATCATTATGAAGAAGCCGCCCAACAGATCGGCAATGGCGTGAACGAGGCCACATACAATTGTGCCCATGCGCAGATCCACAACGCAGCAACATTTCTGTAGGTAAATCATTGTGGAAAAGCACAGAAAATTCCTCACTTTGATTTATGTAGTTTAGTTCGGAAGTTTTGCGAGTAAAAGTTACACAATCTGTGTGACGTGACGTGACAGTAATGAAAGGGCAAGGCAAGGCATGACGAAGGAAGTTTTACGAGTATTTGAAAAGAAACCATGATTAACAGAAGTTTTTGACGATATCATCTGAACTTTAATATCTAAAATTAGCTGCACTGGAGAAGTACTGGCTGGCGTGTACATATTTCAACGTAGACCTCCAGCAATGACGATTGCAATGACCGTCCCTGGCCTACCAGACGGATTTTCGGTTTCGTGTTATACAATAAATTACAAGTAAACAACGCAATCGGCAATTAATGCGTATACTTTTGGCAAATAGCATCGGAAAGAGGCCGGAAAGTCCAAGAGAGTCTGTTCGGAGAGTCGAGTCGAGTCGAGTCACCAAACAAAGCGACAAAAGGCAGAACGTGCGCCAGGCTGGCCTGTACTCTCCCTGGAGTGCTTACTCCTCCGCTCTGTTGTGTTTGTGTTTGCCTTTGCAATTTCGTTTTCAGTATCCGAATTCGAAATATACTCGACTCGTACGAAATATATGAAATATATGTATGTACGAAATGGGCACAATGTGCTCCGATGGCTTCGATGCCCTGTCCCGCTCTATCGTCTGCTGCTCATTTGTATGCATCGCGCGCCGCTGCAAGTGCGGATTCAGTTCGGACGCGTAACTGCGATTGGGAAGCCATCGGAAATATTATGCAAAGAGACTCAAGGGGGTTATGAAAACGGTGTCCGCCATCTGGGGGAAGCGCCACTCATATATAATGCCCGATTGACCTGCCACAATAGAGTCATTCGTGAACAAACCATCGACGAGATCAGCATGAACACCCAGATTGTCCTACTCTGCCTGGCCGCCAGCCTGGCCCTGGCACTTGCCCGTCCGGAACCGCCCAGGCCCCGCTACGGAGCTCCTCCCCCGCCGCCGTCAGCACCGCAACAGGAATACGGTCCACCGCCGCCAGCCCAACCATTGCCCGTGTACGGTCCACCAGCTGCCTTCTACGGGCCACCCGCTGCCCCCGCAGCCGAGGCCATTGTCACCAAGAACGTGTACGTGCATGTGCCGCCAGAGGAGCCGGAGTTCTATCCAGCTGCCGCCCCCATCCAGACGGCGGTGCCCAAGAAGCACTACAAGATCATCTTCATCAAGGCCCCCAATCCACCCACGCCAGTGCGTCAAGTGCTGCCCCCACCCGTCCAGGACGAGCACAAGACCCTCGTGTATGTGCTGGTAAAGAAGCCCGAGGAGCAGCTGCCCGTCATCCTGCCCTCGCCGGCCCCCACCGAACCCAGCAAGCCCGAGGTGTACTTCATCAAGTACAAGCAGCAGCCCAAGCCCGCGCCCCAATACGGTCCACCCGCTGCGCCCGCCGAGGAGTACGGCGCCCCACCCGCACCGCGCGGCCTGGAGCAGTTCTAGTCATACGTACATAAGTCGCAAACTCCAGTCCAAAAATGTAAATACCCATATACACATAATTTATGATTGCAAACGAATGTTGCCATTAAATACGGTTGGTTGTAAACGTTAAAGAGCAGAAAAAAAAGGAGTTGGGATAGGTCTGGGTCTGGGTCTGGGTCTGGTCTGGATTAATATTCTGGGTAGGATATGATCAGATAAAATATATTTCGAATGCTGTCACCATACCATAATTGTTATTTTTAGCGAAATTAATTCATTGCAAGCCATATACGTAAATATGAGTGGGAGTGGAGTGGAGGGGGCCATCAATTATTCCATTAAGAGAACGATAAACAAAATGCGAGTGGATTCAATCAGAGAAAGCCTCAGGCAACAGAAATCTGTGACAGACGCACTAAGGCCTTGAAAACTTGAATATATTTAACGCATTCAGAGCGCTATCTTTGATTCAACAGAGTTGAAAACGAATTGGGTTCTATGTCTTTGATGCCTGTGTCAATCGATCATAGAAAGAGTAGACCACCAGCCAGAAGTACAAGCCTAAAACTGAAATGAAAATAAGCTAGGAAATCAGAAATCCCATTGAAATCTCGTTGCATCTTACTGGCTTGGAACATGTCGAAATATAAATACTCATAGACGATGCCTTCGGTGTATAGATAAATGTAGAAGCTCTCGCCGATCAGGGCGCACCAACGTATAATGGCTATCAAGAGATAGGGTAGTAGAAACGAACGCCAGCACTGAAAGCAAGAGTTTGTGATTTATATCCTATCCTATTTAAATTACCCACCATCACGGCACCGAGCAGGAGCACGATGCAGCTTAGCACATAGACGCCACTCAGAATGAGCGAGGCATAGCCCTGTAGGGTATCGTCTGAGGAGTGAGTGGCAGCCGTAGAATAAAGCCTCCCAGTCCGCCCGATCTACTTACAGTCCACAAAAAAGCGATCTATTCCCCGTATGAGCACTTCAATGAGGGCTATCAAGATGCAGCCGCACTTGAGGTCCAAGCAACAGCAACATTCATCCACATAGATCATTTTCGTTGGTATTTAGAGATAATTGCCCTGGCCTACTACAGCCGGGGAATTGCCTATGTGTTTGTTCACGTAATTTTAATCACGTTTCTTGTACTTACAACACTTGTGTGTTTGCATAACAAATGACGACCAATGGGGGTCATGGTCGGGTCAGGGAATCGGTGAGGTACTGAAAGGCTTTTCCATTTTGATTTTGTGTTTATTTGTTAGTTTCCGTTTATGGGTAAATGTCTCACAACAACTATATTACATACAACTAGATTAATGCAACGCGATGTGGTGATGACAGGATAGACATTGACCCTTGCCCTACTCGTACATATTACCTGTTCATACATATATAGCCCTCCGCTGTCTATGAAGCGAACGGGGAAACAATTCTGATATGGGTTATATGCGTACCTAGTCCCTATAGTCTGCCTGTCTATTCGTTTTTATTTTCGGGGCATGGAAATACGTGGGTTAGTCCATGGAGATATTTTATATATTATATATATATATTTATATACGGGTAGTTATTTTTCATGTCTTTTTTTAACTCAGTTCTTTTTGCGCAACGTTTTGGTGCTCAGTAGGTTGTTTGAATCTTTGTTTTGTTTTGTTTCGTTTGAATCTCTTCGTCAAGTCTCGTCTCGCCTCGACTCGCCTCATCTGCAGCAAGATATACATAAGTATTGTACATACAAACGATCTGGTTTGTGCTCAACTGAAATATAACAAGCAACGGGGGGATGCATAGATCCTTTTATAGATAAATATATATGCGAGAGATGCGAGAGGTGCGAGAGGGAGTGGGATGTGTTGGCTCGAGGATAGAGTAAAGATAGTGGGCTGTGGGGCTAATACAATCAGTAATTGGTAGTGGATAGTGGCTAGAATCGGTGAGGCATTCGCAACTTTGAAACTCAGGAACTCAACTAGTTTTGGTTATCTCTCTGTCTGTTCGTTTTGGCTACTAAAACACGATTAGCTTATGGGGCGACAGCCATTAGTAACTAATTAGTAACCCGTAACACAATTCGTAACACACACTCGCCCGTCCCTTAGGCATCCTCGCAGTCATCCTCGCAGTCCTCCTCGCCCTGCACGAACAGACGATGGTTGCGCGCCTCCAGAATGGACCACACGATGAGCGGTGTGCAGCCGAGCACCATGCAGGAGCCCATGCAGTAGAAGCAGATCTCATAGTCACCCGACAGATCACGCAGTAGACCAGCCAGCGGCGGCACCGAAATGGCTCCAATGCTCTGGAACATGCGCACCAGCCCATAGCTGGAGCTGATCCTATCCGTGCCAAAGACGTCCGCAAGGAGGACGGGCATCAGCACATACCAGCTGCCCAGGCAGAGGCCGTACACGGCGGCGGATAGACCCACCAGGATCAGGGTCTTGGCAAAGGGAATGGTGAGAACCGCCAGGCCGGCGCCCAAAATGCTGAAAGCCGAGAGTTTATGTGTACAGTTCAGTTCAGTTCAGTTCAGTTCAGACTTTGGTGAGAGATCAGCACCTACCAGAGGGTGTAGGTCCTTTTGCGATCGAAGAGATGCAGATCCGACAGCCAGCCGAGGCCCAGGCGCCCACAAAGATCCAGGACTGCGCTGATCGCCACCAAATAGCCCGCCTCGCTCTTGTTGTAGCCTATGGAAGAGGAGAATCAACAATGCTGTTTGGACACGGGCAGACTGGGGGCTGGGGGGAGACGTCACCTATGGAGATGACATGGGCGGGCAGATAGTACAGCATGTAGGGACAGCCAACGGACATGAGGGTGACGGAGAGGGTCATCAGAATGAATCGCGGCTCCTGCAGCAGGCTGATGTCCAGATACATCTCGATGCGCTCGCAGCAGGTACGCGGCAGCTGCTCCTCATCATCTTCATCGTCGTCGTCGTCGTCCTCCGGCCCACCATCGCCATTTAGGGACTCCATCAGCTGGGAGTCAAGGATGCCGCTGTCCGACAGCTGCTGCTGCTGCTTCAGCTCGCTGAGGTTGCTCACCGGCGTGGGGATCTCCATGCTCTTGCTGAGCCCGCGACTGACCACGCTCGGCGGCGACAGTGGCCTCTCCAGGTGGGCCTGGATCTTCGAGATGACCTCGTCGTTGGCGAAGACATTGCGACGCCGGCGACTGCCGCGATTCGAGTCCGTGCCCGAGTGCTTGCGGTATACCCAGGTGGAGTCGGTGCTCAGATCCTCGACGGAGTGCAGCAGCCCGGAGCTGCGCACCTTCTTCATGGGCTTGATGAAGGTGGTCTCGCCAATGATGTCCTTCACCTCGTCGTCGCTCTCCTGCGCCGACTTGTCGTGTGCTGGCGAATGCAACAGTAGTGAGGGCCGCTGCCCAGAGCTCCCATTGCACTCACCTGCTGCTGCTGCTGCTGCCGCTGCTGCTGCTGGCTGCTTGCTGGTGTAGTAGTTCAGGTGGTTCTTCGACTCCTCGAGGAACAAATGCTCGATGAACTTGTCGCTCAGCTCATTGTCGCCCACCACCTCGCAGGTGTCCAGGTAGGTGGATGTGGTCAGGATGCCCGTCGTGCTCGGATTGATGTCCTCGCTCAGCGGCTTCTCAGTGGCCTCCGGCGCCTGGCCCTGGCCCTGGCCCTGGCCCGGGTCCACATACGCGCTGATCGGACGATAGAGCATCGCCGAGACACAGACGTGCAGCATGCAGCCGCCCAGAATGAGGAGGGTGGCATGGAAGCCGCATTTCTCCACCAGATGCTTGATGAGCACCGGCAGGATGAAGCTGCCGGCCGCCGTGCCCGACACACAGATGCCATTGGCCAGGGCGCGGTGCGTGTCAAAGTACTGGGACACGATGACGATGCCCGGCGTGGTGGAGAGGCCTCCGCCAATGCCTGCAGTGAGGGAAGAGATTAGGAAAGCGCAAGGATTGACACCCCCCTAGTTCTCAACACTCACCCGTTAGAATGCCGAAGGTGAAGAGCAGGTGCACCAGGCTGGTGGCAAAGTAGCTGAGCATCATGCCCGTGGCACAGAAGATGCCGCCCACGAAGACCACGGCCCGGCACGAGAATCGCTGGCACAGGGCGCTCGAGAGGGGTGCAAGGACCAGGCACAGGGCCGAGAGAATGGCCGGTATCCAGGATGCCACCGTGGCCGTTGAGCTGGGAAACGTCTCCATTATCTCCACGTAGAGCACTCCGTAGGACTTGACCAGCCCGGCCACCCAGAACTGCACGGAGAAGGCCCCGAAAACGATGAACCAGCCATAGCCGCCGTCGGGAGGCTCCACGTTGCCCCCACCGCTTTCCGTTGTCGTCGTGGAGGAGTCGCGATCCTTGGCCGGCGGCTTGCTGCGTCGCTGCACGATCCTGTCCCGCTCCTTGGCCCTGCGGATGCATTTGCTCTTCGCCGTCTGCGATCCGTTGCCGTTGCCGGTTCCGTTTCCGTACTGCTGCTGCGTCTTGCGACTGCTGCGCAGCTCGTGCGATTTGGCTATCAACGGCCGCGCCGTGATGCTGGAGACAGTCAACAGGTTCTCGTTGTCGTCCTCCTCCAGCTCGGAGATCTGGTGCTCCAGCAGGCTGGCGTGCAGGGTGCGCGGGCAGCAGGGGGCGTCCAGGGTGAGTGTGGCGGGTCGCCGGACCGGTGACGGGGACATCGAGGGCAGGCACTGGGACTCCGACTCCATCTGCTTGACATGCAGCTCGGCAAGCGGCACCACAACGGCCGGCACTGTGGGCAGCGGTGCGGGTGGCGCTGAGACGATCGAGAAGAGGGATCCGCACTCGATGCCAACGCTGCCGCCGTCTCCCACACCTCCACCCAGTCCCACGCCGGAGCTAGCCGCTGTCTTCGTGTTGAGAATGAACCCTCCCGACTCGTACTGGACTCCACCAGCTGGGTCCGGTTCACTCGCGCAGTAAATCGATCCCCTGGAACCCTATTCGAAAGAGAACAGAAAGCGGGAGTTACTTTAGAGGTACTACAAACTACAAACGGTAATCCCTACCAGAAATGTAGCCCCAAACTATCACCATTATGGAATGATTATTCGTGCTATTAATGCTCCCATCTCCAATTAAAGATTACACATCCACAGATCTCCTACGGAACGAGGGACTTACTTGGATTGTCAGCCCTTCTTCAAGGCTACAAAAGGAGTTCGTTAAATGGCCATAAATTCAAAAGTTGTTGACAAATTGACTGGAGGCGGAAAAAGGAAGCCCCATTTAGTTTAATTTGCGTGGCTAAAAGAAAATGCCACGAAAACACGCAAACTCCGGACGAGCTGCTAGACCACAAGCCAGACGACATCGCTGCAGCGCCCTAATATATGCAATGGGTTTTCGCTTTGCTTTTCATTGCTTTGCTTTAATTGAGTTAACTTTCCACCCTTCGCAGCGCACTCTTCCCTGGGGTGGTGGATTCACTGCTCCTGCATTTGATATTGTGATTATCCGCGGACTGGGCAGATTTACCTGCTTATTTTTCGTGTACTTTTTGTTGCTTGTTAAATCGATGCAATAAGTTGCCCGAGTTGGTTGCAACTGTGCATGCTGTGTTGGCATGACGTTTGGGTATTTTCCATTCGTCAGCCGTGGTGGGTGCTGCTCCCCGGGTCTCCTGCCAACAAGCTGCCAGTTTGTCGACTCCTCAGGGTCAAGTGCAAGGCGAGGGTGGCGGAAATCGAAGCCATCGATGGCACCACGCGACGTACCACCGTGATAAGATCTAACCATATCTAACCTTCAAGACATAGAACTTGATAGATAGCTTCCCTAAACGTTCATTGTACATACGAATTAATTGTGTATACCTACTGCTTACGCATCATTGTCTCGAGATATAAATAAATTGACATGGAGAGCCAGGCAAACACGTATCAAGTATCCGACAGGTAAGCCGATACAAACTGCTTTGAAGGAGCTGCGTGGGCTGTGGCAGGTGAAGCTCTATTTGGTCTCCTGTCATGGCTTCGCAACGTGTCGCCGCTAATGAACTACATGACACAGCGATGCCATCGATGGCGGAAAATAGCCATGTCGAATGGTTGCGTAAATAATGGGCATGCAACATTCAGCGTTGCATGCAACAACGACAGCTAACCGCACTAAGGGCAAGGAGTCAGTATGACTCACACACAGCATCGCAGCGACACAGGAAACAGCCGCCCACCACCCGACCACCCCCAGGCCCAGTGACCTTGTCGAATGTCAGATCCAAGGGGCTTCCATTGTGCTCCATTCTGTCAGCTGTAATCCGGCCTAAATTGTCAGGAACCAGTGTGGAATTGTGCAAGTGGAGACGGAGGCGGGGGCGGGTGCGGGTTCGGGGGCGTTGCTTACACCCATTCGTTTTTCAATTTTGCAACATTTCAAGGCCTTCGTGGCCCAGCAGCTTAGTGAAATGTGAAAACTTTTTCTATGCAAGCGATACAGCATACAGCATAGTAGCTTGTGTGTGTGTGTGTGTGTGTGTGCGTGGCACGATAAGCGGTCAAGGCAGTGGGTGGCTTACGCACACACAACTTGTTGAGTGGGTGAAATGCAGTTCCAAACGTCACACAACATCCATTTAATTGCGAACAAGAGTGGGCACAAGAGTTACCTGCAAGGTGTCCGTCCACTCCAATGTTCATCCAATTTATAAAGCTATTCGTTGGCTCCAAGTGAAACTATCTAAATATCGCGCTGAAGGCTTGGCCGGACTCTTTTTGCTGGCATTGAGGTTGTGTGTGTGTGTGTGTGTGTGCTGATTGAGATGGATCACTTGTGGACCTGGACCTTGCTGACCTGCTGATGGTGATAATGATGACGGCCAGCATGTGGCCATATGTAATGTTGACCCATTCTCTGCTCTGGTTGGGGGTTACAATGTTTACCTACGGCCACTGGCCACGGCGCATGCTCACCAAAGCAGTTCAGCCGCCGCCGCCCCCCCATCCCCGTCCAGTGACACTGCCACTGCCACTGCCAGGCTACCTCAATAGCTTTGAGCTTGGCCCACACTCCATGGATGGGGCGCTCTTCCACTCACCTGCAAATTCCAGTCACGCTGTAGGGATGACATTGGCGTCCTTTACTGAACCTGAATCGCCTCTGATGTTTCTCTTGTTGCTCGCGTTGTTGTTGGTGTTGCTTGGGGCGTTGTTGTTGTACACCCAAATGCATTGGGTTGTCTCTGCTGTGGTACCCACCGAGTGCACAAATACCGAGCGGCGAGCGGGCCTTCCCCGGTTGGCCCAGTTTCGTCTGAATGTCGTCCCGTCTGCACCGACAGCAGCAGCCGTTCAGCCTCCGCCGTTCGTGCGGTTGTCGTCGTGGTCCTCGTCTCGTTTGGCACAGAATCGTTTGTGGATTCGTCTTTGTGGGGATCCCCTGGTGATGATGCTGGGAAGCCTGCCTGTCTGTCACTGATGCTGAGAGATGGGATGCTGAGGGTTTTCCAGGTAACTTCTATGGCGTCATCTTTCAATTGTTGCTTGTTGCTTGGTGTTTGCACTTTTTTTGTGGTCGCAGCAGCTGTTTCCGGCTCTCTGTCTCTCTCTCTCTCTCTCTGTCTCCTTCCGTTTCCGCTCACCACCACAAGCGCACACTCTTTGAGTGTGAGGTGTGTGTGTGTGTGTGTTTGACAAAATGCAGTTTTTGGAACAAATCGATACGTGCGAAATTTCACATGGATTTCAGTTTGGAACTTTTAACTTTTCCGTTTTGGGCAATTACAAAATTCGACTGGCAGAACACAAGCACTGAGAGCGTTGACTTTCGTTGGTATTTTGTATCGTTCGCTGATCAAATTAGTTTTCGCGACAGCCAGGCGTCCTTTGCAACTTATAACTCGGAGACGTCTGTTCGTTGCTGTTGCTTTTGCTCCCTCGAAAGTTCTGCTGCTCTTTGAAACTTGCGACGTCCTTTGTGCACATCCACAGCCTGATTTTGTGGTGAGTTGCGGTGACTGAGGTGGAGTTGAGATTCAGACAAAAGAGAGAGAGAGAGATAGATAGAAAGAAGAAAGAGGGAAAGAGAACACGAGAGAGTGAATGCATTTGATTTGTTTTGTTTTGCTAGCCATATTTCGCCGCTTGTTGCCACCTCCTGCCGGAGCTGAGCAGCTGATGAGCGTACTACAGTCATCACTCGCTAAACATTTTCATATATACAATAATACAATAAAAGTATGAATGCATTTAATTGGAGAGACGACTCAGCGTTCTGTACTGATAAATTACAACTCCAAGTAAAACAAAATTGATGACCATTGACAGAAGGAGGGCCGCCGTTAGAGATGTGAATATCCAGTCAAAAACCATGGTATAGGAGGCCAGGCCCATCAGGATGAATATCACCCATGGCACAAACAGGTACCGACGATTCTGCGAAAATAAAATGACAAGTTTCTAATCATTGACGGCTTGTGTGAATCATTGACGGGATCTAACATTCAGGGCAGCAAAAATGAGCAGCAGCGATGTCACGGAATATGCAATTGAGCTACATGTCCAGAATACCTTGACGCTCTCTTTGTGGCTGCCTTTGGCGGTGAGGAACAAGCATGCCGCCAAAACACCCACCGCTGTCGATAAGCTTCCAATGTACACCGTCATTAGTCTGAGAGTAAACCATTTTTTTCTCCAACTCGAAGTCTCAGGTCGATTATCCACATCTGACAGCCTTGGCATCTTATTTTTGTTTGAGATATTTACTGAGGTGTGTTCTAGTTTTTTTTGTTTGGGAATACAGCGCCAATAAATGTTTCAGTTTAGTTTCATTTCCGGAATGTGGTTTTGAATTTGCGCGTCAACAGTGCGCGGCAACAAAAGAAGATTGATTAGTAATTGTATCGATACATCGATACGTTCGGGCCATCTCCAGCTAGAACATATGTAAATAAATAAGGGGCTAAGTATTTGTTAAAATTGCACCTGCAGCTCTGTAAAGCCAGCATCTATTCGGATCGCAAGCCTCCGGCTGCCAGGAGCCCACTTCAATGATCTTCTAGGAACCGGCCCACACAAAACGATATCAAAATGGATCCTGTGACATTCTTCGTAGTAGTGACGTCCCTTTACGGCGTCCTATACTTTTTCGATCGCTTTTTCAAAGTAAGTCGCCATCTCAAGTCCGAGGTGAAATTCTGTACCGGAATGTGGTCTATCTTTGACAGAGCTGCATGCACTATCCATACGATGCTTTTCTGAAGAACACCGGACTGACTGTAAACTTTATGAGCCTGCACTGGCACACGAACGCCTTCAATCGGATGCTGCTGCGCTGGGGATCCGCCGGAAACAGTTGCACCCGCAACTTTCTGGTCACCAGCTTCAATGTGGGCGTGCTGTTGACCTTCTCGCTGCTCCCGATCGGCATCATACTGCTCATCATTACGATATTCAGTGGCGGCGAGGCGGACACCGCAACGCCATATGCCTCGTCAATGCCAGTGCAGCTGGAGATTCTGCTGCCCGGCGTCAACCTGCCGCTGGAGGAGATTGGCTACTATATTACGACTCTTGTGCTTTGTCTGGTGGTCCACGAAATGGGTCACGCCATGGCGGCCGTGCTGGAGGATGTTCCCGTGACTGGCTTCGGAATTAAGGTGAGTAGTCGGTACAGGTGTCATTCGTGGACACTCAAAAAGAACTCTCGAACATTCCAAACTGTTTCCAGTTCTTCTTCTGTCTGCCGCTGGCCTACACAGAGCTCTCCCACGACCACCTGAACAGTCTGCGCTGGTTCAAGAAGCTGCGAGTATTGTGCGCGGGCATCTGGCACAACTTTCTGTTTGCCGGAGTCTGCTACCTGCTCATCTCAACGGTGGGCATCACCATGTCCCCCTTCTTTGTGTACAACGAACATGTGATCGTCACGGAGCTGACTCGAAAGTCGCCGCTGCGAGGGGATCGCGGACTGAAAGTGGACAATCTCATCACCCAGGTCAATGGCTGTCCAATTACTAGCGAGGAAAGCTGGCACTCCTGCCTGTACAGCTCCATGAAGAAGAGGGCTGGCTATTGCGTGAGCGCGGACTTTATTCAGCTCAACGACGAAAGCAGCGCCATTTCACACCACAGCGTCGATGGACAACTGCAATGCTGCGACGAGCTGAATCCCAATGTCAGCTGCTTCGAAGTGGTGGAGGATGTAAACGGCGATGTACCGGTGGAGCTGCCCCAGCATGTTTGCCTCAATGTGCGTCGCACCCTGGAGGAAGTCACCGAGCACTGCACATCGGGCCTGTGCTCGGAGGGATTCTGCCTGCGGCCGTTGATGCGCAACATAACTGCCATAATGACGTTCAAGCGTCAGAATTTAAATGGCGAAAAGCTGCCGCCGGTCATTTATGTGGGCCATCCGTGGGATGTGTCTCGCACGGTGGAGATTTCAGCCTTCGTGCCGCGCTATAGGTTCCTGAGTGCCGCCTGGCCGGACGCCTGGTTCCTGCTGCTCAAGTACAACGTTGTCTTCAGCATTGGCCTGGCCCTGGTCAACGCCATTCCGTGCTTTGGCTTCGATGGAGCACACATCACAAGCACCGTGATACACAGCTTTCTGGTGGGAAAAGTGGACCAGCATGCCAAGCGGGATCTCATCTCGGTGATAATCACTAGCGTGGGCTCCCTGCTCTTTGGCCTAGCCCTGCTTAAAGTCGCCTGGCTCAGCTTTCTCAGACCTCTCATATAGAAACTGGAAACTGGAGTTCAACTCCGTTTCAAGACGCTAGACTGCTATTTCACTTTCATACACAGCGATGTAGCACCTCAAAGATGATAGCTTTTGTCATAGTCGTTAGTTTTACCTCGTATTTATTTTCGTATTGTTGTCGAGCTCAAAAATAAAGTCAACAGGCATTTTCCTCACTTTTGCTCGCCCACTCCGCTCAGCTGTAGGCTGGTCTTCAGCTCAGTCAGACTCCGCCGGCCGTGCTGCATCAGCATCTTGATGGCCACCTCGTCGCTCTGGGAGCGGTTCGTTTGGAAGTCGTGCCGCGCCCAGGCCCGCAGCTCCGCCTGGCTGTGTTTGTCCGGCACTTGGCGAATGGTGCGGAAGATGTCCCGGTATAGTTTCAGCACTTCCTGGCGCAGCATAAACTGTGGTGGAGCAACACATGTGGCAGTGACTACTTACACTTGCAGAAGATTTAACCGCTTACCTGCTTCAAATTGAGGGCTACTTTCGGCACCTTTGTCATGTTAGCATTTAGTTAGTTTCCTGTGAGGTTCCTTTGGCTTGTAATTCAGATTATTTCGCCCTTTTTCTTATAGTTTTCTTTGCATTTTTCAATCCATTGCAAATCAAAACATTAACAGCTGGCTTCCCAGCTGTTCACTTGGTTAGAGATGGTAGCGGTAATCGACAATCGATTTTAATTGTTTCAAAATAATATTTCAAACTGAAAAATTTAATTGATACTACTAAAAATAAGTATAAATTAATTGTGTAAATGAATTACGAATTTTCAAACAAACAACAAAATTCGTTACGGAAAACGAAAAAAAAGATTTTCCTCGAATTGACCCCGACGTGATTTGAACACGCAACCTTCTGATCTGGAGTCAGACGCGCTACCGTTGCGCCACGGAGTCACATGAAATGATCCTGTCTCAAAAGTCGACTTAAGTCAACAATTTTCCTAAATCTATTTATAGAAAAATACATTCAATAGGGAAATTTAAGATTAATAGATAATAAAAATTAGCTTCCTCTATGTCTCTGTAGATAGGCATTGAAAATACTATTTGAAATTAAATACTTTTGGGGCAGGAGGCTAAGTGCAATACAACTGTTCTACTAGGTAGCCAAAATTCAGCAACAATTAATGTATAAAGTGCAATTTTCATCGACTGTCGCTAATGAGTCAGTTACAAGTATTTCAAACTTATGTTTAGTTCGGCCACTTGCCTGCGGGTGCCGCGGCGGCAAGCACAATCTAACAATAAATCTATCTGGCTCTCGTTCAAATTAATTTAAATTCATTGCATTAAATGCTACATTTATCTATATGATTGCATTGTTTCTTGATTGACACGGCAGCTGCTTTCCCACTGCTTCCCATTGCTTCCCACTGCTCTGTGTGTGTGTCGTTGATTATAATGTTTTACTTAAGCGATGAAATTGTCTTTAAGGGACTGGCACCGAGACCGGTGCTCGTACCGGTACTGCTACTATCAAAAGTGGTGCTTGGTGCTAGGTATTGCCTGATGGTAAGTTTTCACCTATCAGCCAACTGTTTTCTGGCCGTTCCATGCTCACGTACAGTTACCCATATTCGTATTAATGGTGGTTCGCAGTGACAGGGCCTGCAATATATTATGATTCACTGGGACCCTATAGCCCATAACAAATGGGTGATAATGCCGGGAGGAATCTTTTTCACAGTGTTCGACAGTGTACCCTCTTTTAAATGACAAAATTATATTCGTTCTGGCTGTCAGAACGATTTTTCTGTCCACATTACTTGCAATTCCCCCACCCCCGCCCGTTAATTTCCCACCGAAATCTCTGTGATCTCTGCTGACCATGCCCGCGGACAGCACGAGTATTTTGTGCAAAATTAAAACAGAAATTGGACATAACATACCCGTGCATTTCCGAGGCAGAACAAAACGAAGGCAGGTGAAATGATGCAATTTATTTTTAACTGTAACACACAGAGAAATTATGCAAAGACACAGAGTCAAAAGAGAGGCGGCGGCAAACATCTCCTTAGTCATCGTAGAGACAGAGCAGGGAGGGAGGGTGGCGTGGTGTGGTCGTGGGAGCAGGAGCCCTAACACAGCCATACGTCATCAGCAGACAGACCCACAGCTGCGCATACGCAGACACCCAACAACAGCAGCGCCGTCGAAGCAACAGCAACAGCAGCAGCAGCAGCAGCAGCGCCAGCAGCAGCAGAGACAGTAAAAATCCGCATGCCGATGGCTGTGCGGCGTCATATGTTCCTGAAGCGCGGAGGTTGTCGGTTGTTCATGCGGGAGCGAGCGCACACGAAACACGAAACAGTTTTGAGAAGCTTCTGAATCGGAAACGGTTTTATTTGAAACATCGCCAAGGCGAGGCTAGACCGGACCGTACGGACCGCCGCTGTGTGTGCATAAATGTGTGGAAAGTGAAAAGTGAAAACGAAAATGAAAATGAGCATGGTGCATGAGCTTCCTTGACGCTCACTCGCTCGATAGTTTGCTCGTTGTAACAGCGGGAAAATCCAAAAAAGCAAAACACACACTTGAATCACAGTGAAAAGAATCGGAGGCGGAGAGCGAGAGTGTACGGTGTACGACACAGAGGAAAGGCCAATTGTGAGTGAGGAACGGAACATACCAAAAATATAATGTTGAAAATATCAGTCTATTTTTGGAATATACTCGTATATTTGTGTGTTTACCCACACGCTGCATTGGAAAAGTGTACCCCGCTAAAGAAAAACCTTAAGAATTCTATTATAAAATGAAAATGATAATGCTTTGGAAACCATTGTGTACATTGAGTTGCATTTCGTTTTCGGTTTGAGTTGAATATTGAAATGTTTTCGCCAAAAGTTCTCAAAAGCAAAACAAAGCGAAAATAAAATAAAATGAAATGAAACCAAGAAGCAGCACAAGGCGAATCGCGATCCAAAGTGAAATGTTTTCAATGGGGCAAGGCAATCAGGAATGACGAAGATCGGACAGATATATGTGTACATATGGCAAGCAGAGATATGGAATGAAGAACGAACACATTAACGTTGAGCAATGGAACTTGTAATTCCAACTGGATATTCGATATAATTTGTGTGATAACTCATGAATGCTTACTACCCTTGAGGGTGTAGATCTGATATATTTATGACCAAAACGGAGTCCATTTTTTTTGGAAATATGTATCAGAAAGATTTCACACACTCGCAGACAAACAGATTCCCATGTAGGATGGATTCCAATTACCTTCACAGTTCCCCTTTTAGTTTGCGAACAATTTTTGTCTTTTTCCGTCTGATTTCTTCTGAACTCTACCACACAGATACAGATGCAGATTGTTGCTGCTGTTTTGTTTTGCTTTTCGATTTGAATATAAAGTTAAATTTGTAGTCTGTTGTGTGTTGTGTGTGTTATGCGATAGGATAGGTGGTAACGTTTCGTTTGAGGTATTAAATTACAAGACACCAAAGTGCGCGCCAAGCGAACACGCTCACAAACACAAAGGCACAGATATACATATATGTATATATATATATATATATATATATGTACATGTAGATGGAGAGATACAAAGATACCTCGTAGACGGTGCGCGGTGTATAAATATATCGCAGTGTGCTGCTTCTTCTTGCATGCGTATCCAATGGATGCGAAACAATATGCAAAGCAAAGAGCCCAATAAAGAATAGAACCGAAAAAAAGAGTACAAATAACTGAAACTGTGAGACGCTGCGACTCTGTAATTAATTATGTTGAATGGGGGGGGGATGGGATGGGATGGGGAGTGGAGCGTACGAGTACAAGTATACCCACAGATCCAGTGATTGATGTACTCGAAAGTTCAGTTGTTTACAGTGGCAAGATCAATGACTTGGCCAGCTATAAATATCGTACGTGCTCGTGCTTGCAATAGAATCACCCTTAGAAGCTATCACATGGCTGCACTCTGACCCTTTGTCCTCTTCTGTCTTGTGTTCCAGCCACGACCCGTCCACCCACCCAGGCCCAGAAGAAATGTCCGCCAAAACGTCCCCATCTAGCTCCCGCGATGCCAGCGTTGGTGTTGCCGCAACCGTGGCCGGACCCGTGCAGATCAAAAAGGAGCTCCCCAGCGATGAGATCAAGGTGAGCTCAAGTCACATAATCCCATTATTAATTACCCCCGTCCACACATTATTCGCGAATACTATTCAATAATAAGAACTACAACATGGCATAACGACCCTCCCAGCCCTCGTATTTAAAGAAAAGTGTGCATTGGCTTGGAAAATAAAAACACTTTTCTTTCGTCGAAATTTATTATTTGTTTTCGTATTGTGCTGCTCGAATAGAATTAGTCGACAGCAAAGGTGAATAACATCCACACGCAGAAAAATGTTGCAAGTAAACGAGTAAATTCGGATATCCTATTTCTCAATTTTTCTCTAATTAGAGTGGATTAAGAATTTACTTCAAATAATAAGAAATCACATTTTGCCTGGTATATTTGCATGTAGTTTTCTTTTGCTCCAACAAGCCCTTGAAGCAATTCCAATTAGTGCATTCGAGATGTGGTTTTCAGATAGCATAACATTATTATGCAAGCATTTCCAATTAAATACTGAAAAACAAGAAAAAGAGTCAAAATGTCTGGGCCAGAACGAAAAAAAAAAACCCAACGAAAAGGTCTCAGTTTTCAATTTTCAATTCCAATTATTCTGTTGAGGAGTATGATGATGTTTCTGTTGTATTCGCAGTGGAGAGCATTTAGAAAAGTGCAACAGAAATTTCAGTCCCTCCTCTCATCACCCACTATCCCCTATCTGGGTGTGCTGGGAGTGCCGGGTCCATCATTTGTAACTGGAGTTCAGTTCGCATCGAAGTTGAAGCGATTACGATTACGAGATTTCGCCAACAATGTTCGTCCATGGATGTAAACCGAGCGCAAGTGGTCGGAAACCCTATATTGATGAATTTTTATAATCATTTTAACGAATGAGTGCTCCAGTGAGTGAGTGAGCTGCGGAGTGGAGTTGTGTTGAGTCCGAATCCGAATCCGATTCCCAGTCCGAGTGGGTTGCAAATTTACGCAGAAAAGCCAACACCGCCAACACCCCTTGGGCTCCCTGTTGCTGGGCTTATCCGCCAAATGAGCAAAATTAATTTAATGCCACAGACGAGGAGTTATCTACCCGCAGAGGCGAGACGAGCCGAGCCGAGCCGTGAATGGTGCGAAGGCGGGGAGACCAATGACAACAGCAACAGCAACAAAAACTCTCCCACAGCAACATTTTTGCAGCACGTGAAATGTGATCGGTGAATCGAAATTATAGCCGTCGGCCTGCAGTTGTGCGCAATGATACTTATTATAAAGCATAAAGCGAATAACACAAACAAAAATATTTTATAATGAATGAGCTGCTTGAGAACTCAGTATGCGCTGAGCTGAGCATGCTCACGGTCGGGTGGGTGGATTCTCCGCTTAAATGTTTACTAAAGTGGTGATTTATTACATGGAAACGATTGTTGTACTTGGGATTTGTCTAGGGAGTTGTGGGAGTTGTTGGGTCTAGGTCAGTATCGGAGTTATAAATTTATTGGTTTGAAAGCAAAAGGTTCCCTTTGAGCTATGTTCCCTTAACTTGAAGTACGCAAATCTATTGATTCTTAAATCTAACCCCTTCGAGCATGCCACACTTTGCGCATAAACGATACTAGTATCAATTAAAAATATTGAAATTTATCCCTTTTCCATGCTCACCTGCCACACAAAACAGTTTCAGTTTCAGTTTCAGTTTTTTGTGTAATTACAAGCTGCATTTGCTGCAAAGACAGCGCCCAAAAATTGTGGTATGTATTTTTCATGTATAATGGATCCAAGGGGAAGCACACACACAACATAATTAAGCAGCAGGGGGGCGATACCAACATGAACGCGCCTCACGGGTGCAATTCGATAGGACTGTGTAAGGCGATATCCTTCAGGGCTTCCGCTTTAGGGTGCTGTCGAGCTGAGACTGATGCTGATGCTGATGCAGAGGCAGAGGCTGGCCGTTATGAAACAAAAGAGTGCAAGGGGCAAGGTGGTAGGGAGGAGGCCTATCGATGATTGACAGTGGCCGAACAATAACTGAAATGAACAACATTCTGTGCGCGAGAGGTAGTAATTGATGAATAGAAACAATGTGTGTTGCCTTGGGAGGTGTTCGTTCATAGCGGAGAACAAATACAATCCGGTGTATTACGAATAATTACTGGATATTAGAGGTTAGGGATAGCAGCTTCCTTCATTTGCATCCTAGCAGCTATTTCAGTAAGCATTCTGTCTGTGCTCTGAAGGGCTTAATTTTAGATTAAATTTACAGCATATCCTGTGCGACTATTATAGTAATTGCCAGCCACAGTGGCATCAGCAGCCGATCGAACACCTACACATCCCATAGTTAAGTGCTGCTGGACTCGTATATCCCATGCCCAGGGCGCAGAACGCAGGGCGCAGGGCATTCAGGATTGGGTTACCCACACGTTGGAGTGGGTCTGGGGGAGACTGTGCGGGGCCACACAATGACATCGTGGGCCCGGCAGTCAGCCACTCCGAGCCTGCAAAGGGGTGGTGGGGCAGCGCAGCTCAAATGACGCCGCAGCAGCAGAACTTTAATAACAACGCCGAAGATTGAATTACAAACAAAATAGAATATGATAAATTCTACACAAAACACCAGGGAAAGGAACTAGAGCTCAAAAGCTGTGTAAGCTATGGAGAGAGAGAGAGAGCGACGACGATATGTAGTTGCCCCCGGACACAAAAAGCGAAACGTAACATGAGGCACCCGGTGTGCCTTGTTGAAGCATCCACAACCAGCACAAGCACATGACATGGCTCCCAGTAGCTGACAGTAGGGGGCTGACAGACGAGCGATGGCATGCGACGTGCAGCAGTCCGTCCTCTCAGCTCAAATTAATATAGCGTTAAATTAATTCGAGCCACTGATGGGCAAACAAAGGACGCAAGGGAACACGACTCTCTGCAGCAGCAGGCGGACTGCCTGCACCTGTGGGTGGATGGGATGGGGGTCCCATTGGCAGCAGGATGTGTGGCAGTAAATAAAGCAGAAAATAATCATTGCAAGGAATTCTAGATAAATTGCTATTTATATTTGCAGTAATATCTGCCATACATATATATATATGTATTGATCGCTAAAGCTTTCTGCCATATATACCCCTTCTGCATACAGCACGAATATCATATATCATACACTGGAATGGTACATTAAAATAAAATAAAATATCAAGTTACAAGAGAGCAGCAACAACAACAGAAACAGAAACAGCAACAACAACGAAAAGAAAAACAATACCATGAAAATGAGAAGAGAAACTGAAAACTGGCGCAGCAACAAGAGAAACAACAACAACAACAACAACAACAACAACAGCGACAGCAGCCAAAGGCCAAGTATGTCATGTAAGAATTCGAAAGAAGGACGCGCGCGTCATTCAATCCTGAGCTATCGATATTCGATTACAACCAACCAACTAAAAACCGACTCGACTGACTTTGTGCTCGACTCACACACATACTCACGTACACTCGTACACTCGCACGCAGAGATGTCTGAGAAAACTAGCGGTAATTCTAGAATTTGTTGCCATTGGGTTTTGTTTTCCCTATATATAATTGTACATACATATGTGTATCTCGTATACTCGTTTTTTTTTTTTTTGGGGTGGTATGGTTGCTGCGGTGCCGTTGCGTTTGCTTTTGGAATTGGGTTGAGGATTGGGGATTGGGTTCGGTCCGCACACCGGCTCTGGGTGCTCTGTTGCAGTTTGGTTTAGTTCGCTTTAGTTTAGGGCCAGAGCTAGCCCAGCTCTCGTCTCAGCTCAGTTTACTGGGTTCAGGGTGAGTTATTATAAGCGTATTGGGTTGCCTCTCCCTCGCCCACTGTCCCCACTGTGTCCGCCCCCACCCATCAGTGAATCTTATCTCTTAGCCATTGCTAGCCTCGTCGTCGTCGTCGTCGTCATCGTTGTCGTGTACTTTACATTATTCTATTAGGTTTCGTTGCCAGTGGGTAACCGTAGACGTGTATTAATGTGGCCGACTCAGATAGCACGGAGCCTCAATGCTGTAATGCAATGGTTATACGCCCACTCGGATAACTTTAGATGGCGGCTTGTGCCGTATCTAGGTCAGAACTATGAAGTAAGTTTCCCTTTTCCTGGTCACCGATCGCATGGACAAAACGGAAAGAACAGAACCATTTTGATCCGCAAAAAAGAGGTTCTCCATTTGCCAGATTTTCTGTGCATTTCCGTCAGTGTACAACTACTACTCATTGCCAGACAGAAACTGAGCAAACTCGTATCCAGTGCTCAGTGCTCAGTGCGTGCTCAGTTCCTCGGTTCTCGGTTCTCGGTTCTCTCGTCAAGTCGGTTGGTTCATTACGATTCATAATAAAAATGAAAATCTGATATGTTTTTGTAAGTTGAGATTTTGCAAAAACGAAAATAAAAAGCTGAACAAACTTGAGCCGCGCCAGGCGATTGTCAGAGCCAAAGGCAGACAGAGAACAGTCAGTCGGAGCAGAACGTGTACGGTTGAGTATTGGAATTGGCAAATGTATCCACAAGATACATACTGTACATATTCCAGCAATAATTAAAAAAAAAAAACACAGTGAAATGAAATGAAAAGAAAAACGAATCCGTCGAGAGATCTTGTTGCACAACAGAGGGTGGCCGGGGGCCGGGGGAACACTGAAACTGGAATTGAAAATGTATGTTTTATCGTGTGGTTATACCACAGAGAGCAGGCAGATTCAGATCCAAAACTCCAGCAGCAACAGCAACGGCAACAACAACAGCAACAACAGACGGCATACAATTTCAGCTTTTAATTAATTGATTTTTATTCGCATTTTGGTTTAGAATTTCATCCGACTGCAATGAGCTGGGGACTGGTGCTGGGGCTGGAGTTCCCAGTCTGTCTGTCTGTCTGTCTGTCTTTTTGTCTGTCCGTTGAGCAACTGTCAGGCAGCCGGAGCAGGAAAACTGAACGAACGCACAAATCAGAAATTAAAAACCGAACATAAATTAACAGACAAATGATACTAAAAGCCAAGACAGAGCGCGGTTCCGAGAGAGGGAGAGAGAGATGCAGATGGAGATGGCGCATGGGATAATGAGGGGGGGAGCGAGCGAGCGAGCGGAAAGGTACGGAGCTAGGACGCTGCGCTCCTCCGATTACCGCACAGTTGGTACTGCGAACTGCGAAAACAACAAAAAAAACTGAACTTGAGACAAGCGTGCGTCGCTCTCTGGTCCCTGCTCTCTGCTCTGGTCACGGATCTCTCTCCACGAATCCCCCCTCTTTGCCATTCCCCAGTGGACGAGGTCGCACCTGAGGCATGTAATCGATACGGCCAGGCAGGCCAGGCATTCGGTCGTCGTACCAGAGATTTTAATCGTGCGAATTGTTAATACTCTTTTCACGGCAACGGACAAAACCTGAATGTGCCTGTCACCGATACTCGACCATGGTTTTGCCTTGCTGCTTGCTGAAGGGTGGGGTGCGGGGTGCGGTGCGATTGAGTGAGCGTGTGAGCGAGAGCGGTGAGCGGTGAGCGGAGACAGAGGAGTAGTTATTAGACGACTTGCATTTGTCAGCAAGTTGGCAGCACCGCTTAATTTGCACACCGTATCGGGTGTCCTATCAGACAGCTATTGCAGGGGGGAGGGAGGAGAGAGAGAAAGAGGGGACAGGGACTGGTCTATTGGGCCGTGGGATGGAATGGTGATTCATCTGGTTGCATTGTCCGCCTTCAGCAATTGGGGAATCATCTTTCAGAGTTCTCCAATTTGTAGCCATTTCCCTTGAATATTACCGAGGTTGCTTCCTTATCCATCTACCATATAGCCAGCAGTGTGCCGGCAGAGCGACTGTGACTCTGACTCTGACTGTGACTGTGACTGTGTCAACATGGCGTATGAACAATGTGGAATTCCTGAGAAGCAGGCTGGCGAATTATTAAGATTTTCTGAAATTTAAGTTCACTTCATACGTTTTGCTTGCCACTCCTCTGGCCGAAGACTGCAATGGCTAAAAAATAAAATACGAGAATTTCAATGTAACCCGATCCGAAGTCTGTGCAGCTCTCGCAGCCTTGTGTGTGCGATTTTCGTATTCAACTCACAGGAATATATATACAAATGTAGGTGCATATCGTGCATAAGCATGTCCAATACTCACACAAAGATATATCTACATATCTCCTTGGGTTGTTGCTGTCTATGCCAAAAAGAAGTAACTTCAACGGCAGCAGCAGCCATATCTTGGACAGGTCCAGACTGAGGCGGGATTTTCGCTTTAATTTCACAGAAGCGGCAACCAGCACAGAGATATGCTCATGTTTACTCAATATCCATGTCGTAGCAGCCGTGCCAGCACCCATACCCATACCGGAGTGCAGTGCCAAAGGGAGACATGCATGCAAATGCCACCCACACAGCCTCCCGAAAACCTACAACCAGCCCGATGGCCATAATGAATGTTTCGTTCCTTGTGTGGCCACTGATATCCTTATAAAAGCGCAAGGGGGAGTGGGAGTTGGAGTGGAAGTGGGTGGGAGTGTGTTTTCCTGGGATACGAAAAGACTATCGATTACTAGGCCACTGCAGTGCCGGGCCCAGGCTCCTCTGAAGGATTCCATTAATTGGGCTCTTAAAGTTGAAAGGTCACCATGTAGGCAGATATCCTAAGGGCAAAAGGGCAATTTAAGCAATGCTTAAACAATTAAATAAAAATAGATACTCGTATGTTAGTTGTATCATCCGTCATGTGTGCGGATGCCTTCCTTTCATGCCTTTCCTTTTCTTGAGTCCACCTTTGTTCAAGCAGAGTGGCAGTGTGTGGTCAGTAGTTGACCTGCCACCTGCCACCTGCCAACGCACCACAATGATTGCGGTATTGGATTGCGGCAGTTACAGCTGCTTAGGGGAGCTCTCTGCTCTGGGAGCTGGCAGCAGGGAACTGTGTCATCAATTTCTTGAAACTCATATCACTGTGGCTCTGTCTGGTTCCAGGAATTCGCCCACAGCACCATGAATGAGCTGCTCGGCTGGTATGGCTTCGATGGCGTCGATGTGGATCGCCTGGACCTAACCGCCAAGACATCGCGTCTGCTGCAAAGTGCCGCCGCAGCGGCTGCGGTGGTCAGTCAACAGCACCACCTGCATCAGCATCAGCATCAGCACCAGCAGCAGGACCAGGAACATCAGCAGCAGCAGCAGCAGCATCAGCACATGCTGGAGAGGAGGCGCAATGGTTCACTCCGGAGCAGTCGCAACTCCCTGGCAGCCGCGTATCATAGCAACAACAACACGAACAACAATACCGCTAGCAATGGGAATGGGAATTGCGGTCGGAAGGGCGGAATGCTAAATTGCAACAGAACGGCGACGACTCCCTCGGATCACGATACGCGCAGCTCACGGGAGGATGACTCCAAGAGTCCAAACTCAATCGGCAAGCCGGTCACGACAGCGGGCATGGGTATGCCGCCCACGGAGGAGAAAATAGGTGAGTACCAAGACCTGCTGCAGGTTCTGTCAGGGAACGTCAGGGTCGGCTTAGAGCGTATGCCACGAGGAGGACCATCAGGTAATTCGAGCACCCAGCAGCCAAAAACGAGCTGTGTACCAGCTGCAGTCTGGCCAAAAAGGGAGAGTATCTCCCACCCCCATCAGCCACGCCCTCCTACTGCTTCTAGTTTTGCTTGCTTGAAACTCGCAGAGGGTATTAACACTTACGGTTTGCAAGGGCGTTTGATGCTGCGCCGCTCTCAGCCTTTCCATGGCCCTTGTTTTTGGGAATTTGATAAGTCGAAGTTTTCTTCACTGGCACACTACGCTCCCTCTCCCTCTCCCTACTCCTGCCATTGCCTTTTCCATTATGAGCAGGCAGCTTGAAAACTTTCATAACTTCCCAACAAACTCAGGCGGGAGTTGGGGCTGCGCTGGCAGTGATGCGGCTGCCTGCATTATCGAATAACAGATTCATTAAGCCCCAAATATGGCTTACACCCCAACATCCCATCCCTTCGATACTAGGAGGGGAGGTTCACCTCCAGCATAGGCACCTCACATTAGGCTATTGGATATTGGATATTGCAAGCTAAATTTCGAAGGATGCCATGGAAAATGGGAGACTACACTCACTTTTTAGGGACTCTTTGACATTGGGGAAGCATCTCTACCCGTCCTTTTGCCTAATGTTAATAATGTTGAATCTGGTTACTCTCTCCAATGCAGACTTCAACAACTGCTGCTGGTGCCATCGACCGATTGCCGAGAATGCGCCGGACTATCTGACCAGCAGCGATGGACCGCGCTACTGCTCAGAGTCCTGCTTCACGCAGAGCCGGAGGGCGTGCTTCAAGAAGGCCAAGACCTGCGACTGGTGCAAGCACGTCCGCCATGCCGTCAGCTATGTGGACTTCCAGGATGGGGCCTCGCAGCTGCAGTTCTGCTCGGAGAAGTGCCTCAACCAGTACAAGATGCAGATCTTCTGCAACGAGACCCAGGCCCATCTGGACATGAATCCGCATCTGCGGGACCAGGGCATGGAGGCGGGCAGCGAAGCGGGTCTCATTACGCCGGATCTCTGGCTGCGCAACTGCCGCAGTCGCTCGGCCTCGCCAGCCTCCACGGTATCGGTGTCGCCAGGACCACCAGCCGAGAGGACGGCGGCCACACCCAAGCGGATCTCGCCCAGCGTCACTCCGCCCAGCAATCCGAGCAAACCCTTGATCTCAGTGGCGCCCGTGTCCAAGCTGCTGGCCCAGAAGAGTCCCGCTCCAGCTGCCGCCGTCCCACCACCACCGCCACCACCGCTGCAGCGGCACCACAACTCCTTGGGATCAGGTCCGGCACTAAAGCCTGGTCGTCGCAAGCGTCCATTTCGCGGTCCAGCCTCCTCCTCCGGCTCGGAGACGGTGGCCAGTATGCTCCAAAAGCAGCATCAACAGCAGCAGCAGCAGCAGCAGCAACAGCCGCCGACGCTCAGCGCAGACTTTTCCGGTTCCAGCGTGCCGCTGCCACCCTTATCCCCCATGCCGGAACCGACGCACACCCGCCCCCACCCACAACAGCAGCCAGCTCCGCCCGTGGTGCCACAACAGGTGCTGGGCAGGGGCCCAACTGCCATACCTCCGAGCTACTTTGCCACACCGCCCAATGGGCATCCGATGGGGCTTCCATTTGGAAGGCATCCCGCGCCGCCGCCACATCACTTCCTGCCGCCGCCGCACGGAATGATGCCTCGGGGATTTCCGCCGCCCTTTGGGCTGCCGATGCCACCGACACAGGTGCCAGAGCATCTTGGTGCTTTCGGGGCAATGATGGGGGCGGTTCCGCCGGTGACCGTGATGGTGCCATATCCAATAATCATACCGCTGCCCATACCCATTCCCGTGCCGCTGCCCATCATGGACTTCTACAAGGCGCATCTGACGCCCGAGCAGCGGAAGCGGTTCGACGAGGAGCGGGCCACGACGAGTCGCAAGGAGGAGCAGCCTCAGCCACTGGACTGCAGCAAGTCCAGGGGTGATCAGGATGATGGCAACGCTCCAGAAGAGGAGCACAAACATCCACCCGAGCTCAAGGAGGAGCAGCTGGAGGTGGAGGACGTGACGGAGAAGGAGAAAGATGAAGATGTTCATGTTGATGATGATGATGATGATGATGACGATGACGATGATGATGATGAGGGCAAGAAATCCATACCAAAGACAACCTGTGCCGGGAACGCTTCTCCAGCCTCTGCCTCAGCCTCAGCTTCAGCTTCGCCGTCGTCTTCGTCGCCAGCCACAGATGCGAACTCGCTTGAGACACACTGCATAGTGCGGGACGAATCTCATTCGGAGAGCAACCAGGACAGCCAGAAGCTGCCCAAGCTGAAAATCACACGACTGCAAACCAAACGGACCCTTATCCAAACCAAAGAGCCAACCGCGTCCACATCTTCTCCAGCTCCAGCGCCATCGCCATCTGCAGCGACACCTTCGGGCAGCACCGCTTCCTCCGAATGCAGTCGACCGCTGCGCAAGCGCAAGCGGATCATTGACTGTGACTTCCAGAAGATGGCACTGCGGGAGCTGGAGCCGGGCGACGGCCACAACCAACAGGACAGTAGTCCCACCAAGGACGAGGACGGAGACAGAGAGTGCAATATAACCAACAGCAACAGCAATAACCATGGCAATGGCAGTGCTAAAGCTAAAAAGCAAATGTAGTAGACTTAATACTTTTAGTAAACCTTACAAAATATTAGTATGTATCTATCCATGAATGGCGTGCGTGTGTATGTGTAAACTGGACTTGAATATACCATGTACGAGTATGTCTGCGAAAGCGCAGTATATTGTAGAGAGCGGCTGGCGGAGGGCACAAAGTGCTCGCAGAATCAGAACGGAATTTAAATAAATAATAAAAATTTAAATTATTAACTTGCAATGTGTATAATTTGAAATGAAGTAAACTAAGGTTTGCCCACCTACTCTACGCATAAAAAGGATAACATTATCATCAGTCCCTGAGCAGCATCCAGGAACAAAAACTGTAACACTTACGACTGACTACCTATGGCAGCACCTTCAATTGTACAGGTCCCAGAGTGATATCTGGCCGTCCATGCCCGCTCCCGCCATAATGGGTGCATGCCACATGGCCACCGGCTGCTGGGAGTAGGCCAGGTCCATGACACCGCCCTGCTTGTGCTGGGTGAGCACGGCCAGGGGTCGAAGGCTCTTCCACGAGAAGATCCGAATGCGACCATCCCAGCCACCGCTGGCAAAGACCTTCTGGTCGGCGCGAATGCGTACACAGTTGACGCCCGGATTCTTGATGCAGAGCTCCGAGCCGCGCTGCAGCTGCATGGATGGCCGCTGGTAGCTAAAGGTAGTCAGCTTGTCCGCTGCAAGTGTGGCGGAGAATGAGATTTAAAGGCGCTAGTGAGCCTGCGGCATACACTTACTGGCACCGCCAACGATGCCCCTATTCGTTATGGGGTCGTAGTCCACGGTCATGGCATCTGTCGCCAGCTCGACGACATCCACAATGACGCCTGAGCTGATGTCCCACGTGAGGAAGTGCCCGGACTCGTAGCCGGCCAGCAGGAACAGTGAGGAGGCGCAGTCGAAGGGCTTGAAGCAGGTGACGCTGCCCAGCTTGGGCAGCTGCGGATCGTCAGGCACAAGCATTTGTGTGGGGGCAGCCGAATCCGTCACATGCAGCACTCCAATAGACGACTCCTCGCAGGGATAGAAGAGCAGCTGCTCGTTGGTATTGCTGGTATTCATGTAGAGGGCAGAACGGCAGTACCCCAGATGGTTTCCCGCAATACTGTGCTCCTTCACATAGCTGCTGTTGCCAATGGAGAACATCGTGACGGTTCCACCCTTCTCCTGGGTCACCAGTCGGTCGGATGTGTGATGCAGGCTTGTAATCGGATCGCTGCCCACCTCAAAGTGCAGAGCCGAGCGATTTGTCTGCAAGGGAAACGTGCTTGAGGTGATTTGGCAATTTGTTTTTGTTTTGGACCAGCAACCTACCTGTAGATCCCAAAGGAAAACGCTGCCCTTGATGGTGCCCGCCAGAAGACGCTCGTTCTCCTGGAAGCAAACCGAGTTCACGGCGCCCATGTCCGGGGAACGCAGGCTGAACACAGGATCGGGTGGTAGCACAGCCATAATCAATTCGTTTAATTTAATTTTCAGGTGCGTTGTTTTGTTTTCTTCTATCTTATATATCGATATGCATTGTGGCGAATATATCAATATCGATACGTGCGTGCGATATTTGCAACAGACATTTTCTGATTCAGTTCTTTTTTGAGTTTAGTGTGAAAAGAGGCGTTAAATTACATTCAATTTAACATAGATTGGTTCATTTAATTCAATCAAATCAACCGAAATTAAAACGATTTACTTACTTAAATCGATAGGCAGTTGTGCAGAATCTTTGACAAAAATGCAATAGAGGGCGCTGTGATTAGCGCGCAACTCAGCCAATTCAAACGGTGTGTGTGTTTTTTGATCAGTTGCCAGCGAATTGGAGCCCATCGCAAATGTTATCCAGTTGACGTTCACTGAAGCCTCTCAAAAGGAAAACAGGCTTAAATCTTTACAGCGAAAAATCATTAAGCCACTAAATGCGCGGCGGACTATTAAAAGCATAACGTGCACCAAAGGCTTAGCGGCTTTAATGGACTTTGTCAGCAGCGCAGTCGCGGTAGCGGTGGCGGTGCTACAACGTTAAGGCACAATCATAAAAGACTTGCTTGTCAGTTGTACTTGGGGCCCACTGGCCAGATTGCGACCAACGAAAAACGGCCAAAAACCGTCCAGAATGTGAGTCTGGTGGCTTGGGTGTCTCTGCGTGTGTGTTTGTGTGTGTGTGTGCCGCAACAAAGATCGCAAAATAAACATGATATAAGCTCGTTAATCAATGCTAAGTTGACAGTTTTAAGTGGTTTTAGGGAAATAACATCACCAACGGCAAATAAGTTCGAGACGAGACTCCTGTAGTGCCGCAGGCTGCACATGATTTACAGAGGGAGGCCCCTGGTGTCCGATGGGCGTTATATTTTTATTGCGAGCAAGAATTTACCTGCCACTTCCCGCAGATATTTTTGGTTAGTTCTGATTCAAGCTCCACCCACCGGGCTGACCTCCCTCAGCTGCGCCTCCCCTATTCGGATGCTCCGTCCTGACAACTGCCACCGCGTGTCTTCCTTACTAGGCTCCCGGACGCAATTGTAATTTGATTTGGGAGCAACAAGTTAACACGTTTCCCCTAAGCCCCCAACCCACCTCTGCCCGCTGCATGCCTTTCCCCTGTCTGGCAGCAGTTAAAATGCGGCCACAAGTTCATTTAACGGCAGAGCAAATCATAAAAAAAAGGGTTCAAGTCTGTATGGTCATTCCAGCTCATTTGCTTTCGTTTCAGTATGTTGTGTCTCTTCCAGGATGGATGCCAGGAGTGCTGGGATGGGTAGGGGGGGTGGGGGGGGAGGCAGGAGAACGAGGCAAGTCCATAAATCTTTTTGCCACAGCACCAGCCACGAATGGAGCCGAAGATGAGGACCCTGTGAGGGAAGTGAGGCGTTTAAACTATTTATGCATGTTGGGTAATCCATTTGAAATGGGTCAACGACTACAACAACTATAACAACGGCAACGGCAACGGCAACATCGACACAAAACAAGAACAAGAACAAGAACAAGAACAACGAGCACATAAAACTCCTTAAACGTTTCCAATAACCCAACCCAACCCAACCCAACCCAGTTCGGAGTTGAAAACATATTGGCTTGTTACCTTAATGAAGTCATAAATTTTCGCTATCGCATTCGGGGCATCTCTCAAGAGAGAGAGAGAGAGAGAAGAGCCCCGTAGTCCCAGACGCAGTCCCATTTGGAGTCCGTTCCAGTTCAAGCCCCCGAAGCTACAGGTTTCTAAGGAATTCCATTTTGGGATAGAAGACCAAGTGTTTTGGCACACATACTCGTATGTGCACAGTGCACATACGGACAGTCCACGGCCAATGCTCGATAGTTAATCAGGCTTAGTTTGATATATGCTGACAGAGTCGCTCTCTGGTGTAGGCCGCCACTCAGACCCTGGACCCAGCAAAAGGACACTGGGACACAGTCTTGCGCGACGCGATCATCGACGTCCCTTGGGGGGAGGACAACCCGCTGGGCACGTATTCCGCGTATTTGTGAGGCAGGAGGCTATGGAAATGAAGTTATCACGCGACAAACAATGTCGGGACACCCATACCCTTCCGCCTCCGCTCTCCCTCAGCCACAGACTGTGGGCTGTGGGTCCGAGCCGGGCATCCGTGTGCTACCAATAACTTTATATGGTTGTCATTATTAGTCTGAAATTAAATGGCTCTGGCCACAGAGGGCGACACAGAGGACTACCCGACTTATTTATGTGCTACCTTAATGGAGCTTCATCTACTTTTATACGAGACGGCGATCTGTTCTACTCGCTGACTCCATCCCAACCAATTCTCATCTCATTTCGCATCTCCTGCCCCCTCATCCTGTTGTGTTGAGTTCTTATTTCGCATTACTTTGCAATGCCCATGAATCACTTTATTGGGCAGACGGTAGGATAGGCTTCTAGGTGTTGGTATTTTGATGTCCCAGCTACTATCCCCCTTGGGGAACGGTCTTGATCGTTTTCGAGAGTAATTCCCATATAAATGTGGGAGTTTTAGTCACTATTTAAGGTATTGTCAAGCGCCGCAGAGGCCGAGATCTAAGAATGGGCCCCTTGCTCATTCTTTGGCCTTTTCTTTCTATAGAAAGTGGTGCCCAGTGGCTGATGCAATGTAAATTTGGTCACAAAAATTAATTTTTAGAAACCACTTTGGTTTTTCCCCCCCCCCCGAATTGGAAACTCTGAGCGGGGCCTCAATCAATTAAAATATCGACGTCTATCAGCATTATTATAAATCAAACGATAACATAAAACTGACACTAAAGGCGTTTCGCCCATTTTTCATGCAGCCCGACTGGAGCGACAACGACGACGACGACGACAACGACGAGATTAAGGCCTCGGATATGGCATCGGTGACGGAGATGGTGGCCAAAACCTAACTGGAGTCACATTTTTGGGGCATTTGTGCTTGCATCTGAACTTTGTTTCGTATTTATGCAAATTATTCGTTGCAGACGGGAAAAACTGGTCCGCAAAGTGCTCTCCGTAATTGATCAATTTCCGCTGAACAGGCAGACCGGATCGATTCGATCCGATTCGATTGGGTTCGATTGGATGGTATTCGCTTGGAGTTGGCAGACCCGCAGCTTTGAAACGGATCGAATCGGAACGGATAATGTGATCTTCCACTGATTTATGGAGTCAGTCGAGGGCTTGGCTAATGAAATGGCACTTTAGATAAAATATTTTGTGCCCGTTTTGTCGTTTTGTCGTTCGGCCAATGGTCAGAGACGCCGCCACCCACCATGAGAGCAACCATCTAAGGGCCAGGTGCACCCACATATCGGCGCTGACATTGGACATTCCACTTGATTGCCTCTCTGGCTCTCCACCTGCCTCTCCCTCTCTGGATAGTCCCCTCCTGCGGCAATCAGACGCACTCAACAAAAGTGCCAATCAAGCCCAGGACCCAGGACCCAGGACACAGCACACAGTACACAGTGGAACACAAAGGGATGCGTTCGCCTGGCCATAATCCTGGGTGTGAACGTCCAATGGATGGACACGATGGCCGAAGCCTGAAATCGAAACCTTGTCTCTGGGGTGTCAATAACATTGTACGAGTGACTGCCTCTGGGCATGATTGTTGGTGTCGCTGTTGCTGCCTCCCATTGATGATGTGAATGCGTTTTCAGCTCCATTGAACCGGCAGACGCGGCACAGTGGAACACTGGACACCAAAATGCTTTCACTTGGACTCCTCCGCCTG